AGAGATAGATCAAGTATCGACCATCATAAAGACTGAAAAATAAAATTGACAAAGATTATTGTTTAAGGTTGACGGACAAGCATGTCTTAATTAGTTTTTTTTGTTTTTTTTTTACGAATTGGTAAAAACCGAAACTCAAACAAAAACATTGTTTTCAATCGTTATGAGTCTATCGATTGAATAGAATTTTATTATAAACAATTGTAAATGGAATTTTTAAAGCATTCTGAATGTAAAAATAAAAAAAAAAGTGTGCAAGACAATAAGAAACACTACCTGCCAAGAAAAAGTGAAGTTTTGTTGAAATTGGTTGAAAAATGTAGGAAATCCGATCCCATACATATAAACGAACACACACACACACACACACACACACACACACATACACACAAACAACCTGGGTTTTATAATAAGTACAACTCGATATGAGTTGTCCCCCTTTCATCCTCGCGCCAGCGATGCCTCTTAATCATGTTTTCAAATTGATTTCGAGCAAAAACAATTGTGTTTTTCCAATTTTGGGTGGTGTCAGAACAACTGCAAGGTACTTTTACGTAGTCCTGTGAAGTTTTGTTGAAATCGGTTGAAAAATGTAGTAAATCCGATCCAATATATAAACGAACAGACACACACACACACACACACAACCTGGGTTTTATAATAAGTATGATATATATATATATATATATATATATATATATATATATATATATATAATAAAAAGGCTTAAACACTAATATTCCATGGTCATAATTTATTCCATTGGAATCGTAAATACGATCCAAATCATCAGACCTACAAATTCAAAAAGAAAACAGAAAAAAAACACTCCGGAAGTAAAAACAGAATTTAGAGAAAGTGTAAGTATGAGGAGGAGGGAGATTGAACCTTAACAGAGAGAATTTTAGGAGATGTGGGAGAAATAAGAGAAGAGAATGAATGTTGACGGATGTCTAATGCATAAAGATACATTTCGTGGTGACATACACACACCATAGACAATTTAAATTTTCCACTAATATTATATATATATATATATATATATATATATCAAAAAGAATTTACCGATGAATGGTGCTCGACCACAAATCAAATATAAGTTTCATACGATTCCACGCAATCATCAGGCGGTCAACAATAGATTTGTAAAAAAAATGGGCATTTTATACTTTCTTGATAGTTTCAACATGTTACAAGGGTAGTTGATGTATACATATCATGCGCACATCAACCAAAACTCTTCTAGTGGCGGGGGGAGATGCTCGTCCATCGAAAATGGAAATGTCATAAAATCACAAAACAGAACACCACAAACGTTCACAGGCCTAGCCAGAAAAGGGTCCAATATCATAGTAAGCCATATGAGCTCGGCAAAGAGCATAATGGTAAAAGCAAAATAGTGTTCAACACTACCGGGCCCTCAAAGAGAGAAAAGAATACATACACCTGATAAATACCTCACGCGTATTTGTTATGTCAAGAAGTTTTCATGTGTATAATTTTAGTTGGTCTATGCGGGATTTAGTTGATAATGTAGGTGCGTTCAGGTGTGGCCATTTTTGTTTATGTCTAGTCGTATCTGTATATAGATTAGTGGATGTTTTGTGTGAGACTGAAAGAATTTACGTTAAAGTCGGTTGTGGTTGTAAATTAGACGGATCTTATATTCTGTATTGTCTGCTTAATGAATGAAAACCAAACACAAAAATAAAAAAAAAATGACAATTTTCTTTTCTATTCCATATTTCATTTTTTAATGAAGCTTAAAAAAAGTGAAAACTGTTAAATATATAAACATTTCCTATATGTTCCTCATCCTATCATATATATATATATATATATATATATATATATATATATATATATATATATATATATATATATGTATGTATATGTATATATGTATGTTTATAGGGACAAGTTCTCTCTATCAATTCTTTTATTAAATCTTTCAAATTTATAAAAAAAGTTGTTGACTTGAAATTGGTTTCACTAAACGTGAGGACACCGGGATTAAAAACCAGTTGGAACAATCTTTGAAAATGTAGCAACATTCGAAAGTACTCTGGAAGAAAATAATATGAAATAAAGTTTAATATGAATTTGGAAAATTTACTGACAACTTATTTGAAAATTTTAAAGGTTTAATTATAAAATATTGATAGACAGAACTTGTTCGTATTATTTAACAAAACATGTTTGAGAGAATTCTTGCTGCTGAAATACACCTTTCATATATATATATATATATATATATATATATATATATATATATATATATATATATATATTAATCTATTTCTCTCCAAGCAAGGTATTTCTTGATGGTGTGGAAGTGTTATAAATAGAAACAATGCTAAGGAGCAAGAACAAAAGAAGAGTAATCAGGAGGTCAGTAGGTTGCTATTGACATTCCATTTAAATTGTTGCGAATTAAAGTTGGTTGGAAAGCATGGAGCCGGAAAGAGTTCCACTAGCGAGACATGCAAGAAAAGAAACTGTTAGCACAGAATTTACGGTTACAACTAACCAGCTCAACTGTAAATTGATAAAATCACGACACCAGTCTAGTACTATGCTTAAATTCAAAAAGTCTCGATACCATAGCGAAGTGCTCATATGAACAATTACCATGAAAGTATTTATAGAAAAATGCAAAGGGAGGTAACTTTACGGTAGTGGGAAAGTTACTGAAACCGAGACACCAAAACAGGGCCAATAATATTGCTGATTCTTCTTTGGATTTTAGCAGGATCACCATACCAAATGTGGCAGCAATAGTCTAAGCATTGACAAATGGTAGACTTATGGATTTTTTCAAACGGTATCATCCCAAGCAAGGCAGTACAGTCAACGTAAGGGGTTACAGGGTGTGGGGGATTAAGAACAGAAACAATAGTAATGAGGAGAAAGTGAAAAGAGAAATCAGGACAGTAGATAGCGTATTTAATGTATTTAACTTTTTGCAAATTAAAATTGGCTGGAAAGCATGTAGCCGGAAGGGTCTTCCACGAGCGAGTAGTGCGAGAAAAGAAACTGTTGGCATATAACTTATGGTCACATCTAGAAAACTCAATTGCAAATGTTGACATGAAAGTATTTATTAAAAAAAAAGGCGCAGGGAAGCAACCTTACGGCGCTGGAAAATTGACTGAAGCCGAGATGCCAGATCAGGACCAATAACATTGTTGAATATTCTTTGGATTTTAGAAAGGATCTGTAGATATATAGCAGGAACATCAGACCATATGTAACAGCAATATTCTAAGCATGGAAGAATGGTAGACTTAAGATATGTAATATATATTCAAGAGAGAAAAATTGTCTCGTACGACACAGTGCAGCAGCGTTTTTAGCAGTTGACCTCGCAATGGATTCAATTTAGTCTTTCGACTTCATGTCAGCCGAGAATGCTAACCCGAGAAGTCGCAACTGCTACATCTAGCTAGCTCAGTAGTAAATTGATGAGATATGTAAGATAGATTATGAAGAGAAAAATTGTCTAGCATGACATGCTGAGCTAACTTTCTTAGCAGCTGACCTAGTAATGGATTCAACACACACACACACACACACACACACACACACACACACACACACACACATATATATATATATATATATAGCGATTTTCCAAGCGTAGCTTAGATGTGGCATAAGGCCGAAATTATGGCGCACCCAGTGAGGATCGAACTCATATATGTATGTATATTAACCACTAATATTATCATATATATATATATATATATATATATATATATATATATATATATATATATATATATAATGGTTAATACGGTTATACACATACATATATGTATATATATCTAAAACACACAAATATATATACATATATACATACACATACATATATCTATATATGTGTGTGTGTGTGTGTGTGTGTGTGTGTGTGTGTGTGTGTGTGTGTGTGTAAAATTCCAAGAGGATAGAATCCAGGTAGAACTCAATGTCCAGGACAGAGTAAGGATATAATAAAAAGGCTTAAACACTACAAGTCTGATGAATTGGATTGTATTTACGATTCCAATGTAATAAATTATGACCATGGAGTACTAGTGTTTAAGCCTTTTTTATATATATATATATATATATATATATGTGTGTGTGTGTGTGTGTGTGTGTGTGTGTGTGTGTGTGTGTGTGTGTGTGTGTATATATATATATATATATATTATAAATTAATTGATTTAAAATATGTTTTTTCTATTACAGTTCTAACCATGTTTCAAAAATATTTTTTGAAACATGGTTAGAACTGTGTTGTGGAAAAAAAACATTTTAAATCAATTACTTTATAATATTAATGCTCTGTTAATTTACATTGAGCACCATTTTGTAAAAATAAAAAATATCTATAAGAACACCGGATTATATATCTTACTGTTCTTTTCTTTATATATATTATATTATATATATATATATATATATATATATATATATATATATATATATATATATATATTATAAAATGTTCTAGCGTAATTGAAACTAATGAAAAATCTACGTGTTAGATCTTGTGAGTGTGGAGATGCACAAATACCTCATCCTAAAGATATGTTTTCTTGTTTCCTTTGTAGTTCGTGCCTTTGTATTTTCATACTAAAAAAATAGTGCTTTTCCTGTTTACGAAAACAGAGCATTCTTGAAGCAATATTTCGTTTACCCTATCAAGTTGCTGGCGATAAACGTCAGCAGTGATAGGGCCTTCCATATTCTCCTAGCCCATCAAAAACGACATATTGCATTTCATTGTTTTTTTTTTTTTTTTTTTTTTCGCCAGACACAAAGCAATGCTATGGAACTCTAGTTTTTCATTTTATGAGAACCACTGACTTATTTGTTTTCACTTGACATACAAAATTCTTTTTGCCAGACTCTATAATAATGCGATAAAATATAGAATTGGCATTCCTGCAGATGATAGAACGTTGTATTCGGTTCTCAAGCGAAAGTTCACTTGGAGGCTTTTCCAATTATACTCTGAAATGCACAATAAAGACATACTGTTTGGGTAGAAGAGACGATAAACATTCTAAACGCAGTTTTCTACCATTCAATCTGGTTTCTAAGACTGTTCAGTTCATAATTGTTTAGACTTTATGAAATCAAACACGGTACTAGATTGACAGGTTCTCATCATTTTACGACTGAACTAGCTAGATGTAACCGTAAGTTACGTTGTTAGCAGTTTCTTTTCTCGCACTTCTCGACTGTGAAACTCTCTTCCGGCGCCTTACTTTCCAGTCAACAAATATATTCCTTCCCGGGACATATCAATGTCTTTATCTTAGTCAAGAATATGCTGAAATATAACAACTCCAGAAACTATTCCAAAATAATTATGTCCTTAAATTTACATAGGAACTTAATATTAATAAAATTTCGTTTCTAGATATATTGATAAACTCTAATAATATAAATTCATTATCTCGCCATATAAAAAAAACTACTAGCATAAATTCGTGCACTCTTAACTTTAACAGTGAATGTCCAAATTACTATAAAATAGTAATTATAAAAAACTAATAAACCGTGCAAAAAATTAACCCACCCACAAGACAGATTTTCTTCAGCGAACTAAAAAATATAAAACAAACTTATTAATAAAACTTCCCTAATTATATTGTCGACGAAAAATAAGACAATCTACTAGAAATTTTAAAATAAAGCAAATAGAATATAATACTTCCTCAAATAATTCTAAAAATATTAATCTTTTATACCACAATCAAATACATTTTAATAATAAGCAGAACGAAAATATCCTAAAAATCTAATAAATATCTAATATATCCACCATACATCCTAGTAAAAAAAAATAAAAATTAATATTTTTTATATACTATACTAATTTCAATATATCTAATTTAATCATTCGTAATGACACCTCCCCACCAATTAACGTATTGCAAAAAAGCAACATTAGATATGAATTTAAATGTCTCCGTGCGGACTTTTAAACTAGTTTGTGTAAAGGGCTAAATGGACGTCTTGGCACAAAACAAAAGGGACCTCTGGAATAGCTTACAAAACAGTAATGATAATTTTCAAGAAATAACTTTGAATTCCTTAAGTCTCTCCATGGAACTACATTTTCACTCTAATTCGAACTTTAAGTCCAATTCCGGCCAAAAGACCGATTTGGGCCGAAAGTCTAATTTTGGCCGAAACTGCAGTTTGGGCTGAAGATTGAGTTCTTCAAATCACAAATTCCATGGAACTTCAATTTAGTTGAGTTCTTCAAATCACAAATTCCATGGAACTTCAATTCAGTTGAGTTCTTCAAATCACAAATTCCATGGAACTTCAATTCAGTTGAGTTCTTCAAATCACAAATTCCATCGAACTTCACTTGAGTTAAGTTCTTCAAATCACAAATTCCATGGAACTTCAATTCAGGTGAGTTCTTCAAATCACAAATTCCATGGAACTTCACTTGAGTTAAGTTCTTCAAATCACAAATTCCATGGAACTTCAATTCAGTTGAGTTCTTCAAATCACAAATTCCATCCAATGGTTTAGTTCTTCAATTCAAATTCATGGAGCTTCAATTCAGTTGAGTTCTTCAACTCATAAATTCCATGGAACTTCAATTCAGGTGAGTTCTTCAAATCACAAATTCCATGGAACTTCACTTGAGTTGAGTTCTTCAAATCACAAATTCAATGGAACTTCACTTGAGTTAAGTTCTTCAAATCACAAATTCCATGGAACTTCACTTGAGTTGAGTTCTTCAAATCACAAATTCCATGGAACTTCAATTCAGTTGAGTTCTTCAAATCACAAATTCCATGGAACTTCACTTGAGTTAAGTTCTTCAAATCCCAAATTCCATGGAACTTCAATTCAGTTGAGTTCTTCAAATCACAAATTCCATGGATCTTCAATTCAGTTGAGTTCTTCAACTCATAAATTCTGCTGAATTTCAAAACCCCATGTCACAAAATCTCTCACTTTAACTCTTTGATTCTTTGGAATTTTGAAGAAATAAAATTGATTTTCTCAATTCCCAAAGTTTTGGAGATATTTTAAACTGAATTTAAAACATTTGTTTTTAATTCACAAATTTTCTGTGTTACTTTAAACAATATAAATTAAAAAAAATTTTAAATCACTCATTTTTTTTTTTTTTTTTTTTTGTTATTTTAAAATTTGAATTTTTAACACCTCCTTCCTCATCCGGACACAAATCGCAATGCTAGATGTTTAAGCACAAGATGAAGGTCAGATTTTCAATCCCAGGATCATACCGATTCCAAAAAGGTATATGTCTATGAAGAGCAAGTGTGGCTCGAGTTAGAGGCGTTTCAGACACACACAGGAACAGACAGAAATTGACGTTTATTTATTTAGAAGTCTTTTTTTTTTTTTTTTTTTTTTGTCTATAGGTGCCATTTGGAATAATACGGATCGAAAATGAATGTCACGTGGGATGAGAAAGAAGGTTACCATCGGCTAACGGCTGGAGATTTTTCAGTACTAGTCACTGAACTTGAGGAATTAAACGTAAAAGAAATCCGCTTCGTTTGCAAGTCGCTAGATTTAATATTTCACAATGACATCCAAATGCTCTTCCCTGAAATCCGGAAAAAAGGTAAGTTTAAAAAAATATTCTTTTATTTATTCTTACTTTTTTATGCTATATATATATATATATATATATATATATATATATATATATATATATATATATATATATATATATATATATATATATGCAATATTTACTATACTTTTCAAGGTTTAGAATCACGGTTGAAATGATCACCAAAGTTAATCAACGTTGAGCCTGGTCAGTTCCTAGACGGGTGACCGACTCGAAATACCAGGTGCTGTAAGCTTGGATGTGCGGATGGTGTAACCACTCGGAATTGTTAATCGGAGAGCTGAGTTCCAATTTAGTTCGTTATATTGATGTACGCGCAATTACCCTTGGGAAAGGTATGATGCCATCTCTAACCACTCCCCAGCTATGGATTAATTAGTAAGACTTGTATCACTAAAACCATTATTACTAAAAAGGGGGCTTGGAAAATATGATACTCACAGGACAGATTGAAGGAAATTGAGACAGAGAAAAGAAACGCGTAACCTACCTGGCGGACCATTATCAATTCCGAACCATTATTAATTACATCACCCGCATATCCAAGCTTACAGCAAGCAGCGAATATTCCCAAGCGGACTCCACTCTAGTGTTACAGAATGCGAAGGTCAGGGTCAGAATGGTCAGCGATTGGCCGGAGTGATTCGTGGGCGTGTTATTCTGATAGCGACGGATTGCCTTTTTCTGGGTTTTCGATTAAGTCCAAAATGGCACGAATTCAACCGAGGGTCGTAAAAATTCTGAAGTGTCGATACGCCTCCCACACTCAGGTTAGATACCCCGGTTAAGAAAACCCGCGGAAGGACACTGAGTCGACGTGCGACACGCGTTCTTATGACGTCATTCCTCCCTCTGCCTGTTAGAATCCAAGCTACCACCACTCTCTCTTAATAAAATGAACGAGAAAAAAGAAACGCTCCTTTTCGTTGATACCATTTTATATAGTAGCGTAGGAACTCAAAGACGACAAAGAATGCCACACTAGGTATTGACCAGGCTCGATGTTGCTTAATTTTGATAATCTTATGAAAACCGGTGTTACAGCGGGATTTAGTCGTAAGCTTGAATCGTCAAAGATGTGGTTCTACAGCAGATAATACTTTAAAAAGTATGCCGCCAATTCAAAACAATTGGACAATAGCTGTCTATATTTCTGAGATGATGTATTATGTACACTATTTACATTATCTGGACTATTGTCCTCATGTTTGTCGCCATATTTATTACAACGTGTCGCCCGTTGTACGCTCGAACTGAACCCTTTATTCCGCTCACTGGGGTAGACTGTTCTGGTTCCACGGGCCATGTTTAATGGATGTCAGTTATCAGTTACCTCCTGTTAATTTCCCTCTGAAGGGTTCAGTTCGACATTCCAACCACCTGAAGAAGGCCGGAGCGTACAACGGCCGAAACGTTGTAATAAATATGGCGACAAAGATGAGGACAATAGTCCGAATAATGTAAATAGTGTACTAATTGGACAAATCTGAACTAAACAAATGACATTTTATTCGCCATTGTATCATTCATAGCTCTTCCTTTGATCAGTTCTTATAGAGTTTCATTTCTTTTATTTCTTCCCAAGAGGACACCATACACACAGAGGAGAATTCTTCTATGTGTCACATCCCTTCAGGACATGGGCGATCATGGTTCTCTAAACTTCCTCTATTCCATGTAGCCCTTAGCGGTTTTTTCTACCTTTGCTAAGGCTCCACTCCCTTCCCCCACGTTCGGCCATCGCTTCACACCAGCCTGCCAGGTAGGTACCGCTCTGCCTTCCCCTATCTCTATTATCATCAATATACCGTGTGAAGGTTACGTTTTCCAATCCCCACTTTTGTGTGCCCAATGCATTTCTTACCATTTTCTTTGACTGCCTCGGTGCTTTACTCGCGCTTTCCTTCATGGAAGTTTCAGTACCCTTCTGTTATCACATTTCTGTAGCCTCCACTTTTCTCCACATCCACATTCTCTGCCATATAAGCGGAAGGATATTATATTGCAACAGAGTACTCTTTTCTTTTTTTCTAACGAAATTTGTCTGTTTTTTTTTTTGCTTTGTTTTTTTTGTTTTGTTTTTTCAGCACCTTGCTTAGATTTTGAAAGACATCTTTCGCTAACGTTCAGGATTTCGGAGTCGCATTTTCCATCCTCTGTTAAAACACTCTCAGATATTTAAACTTCTTTACTTACTTAGTGTTGATATTTCCAATTCATAACTCGCATCTTGGGTTTTTTCTCTTGCTGATAACCATACTTTCTGTATTCTTGTAATTAATGGTTAGACCTTTTTTCTCCCACTTTTTTTACAACCCTGTCAAGGAGGCCCTGTAGTTTTCTTTCTGTGTTAGTAATCAACAGAGAGTAATCGACATATATTGTTAAGATTATGGTCACCGATAATAAATCCCAGTAAGTTTTTTTATGGTCCAGGTTAGGACCAAGGAAGAATCAACACGAACACAAGAGTAGAAATAACGAAGGTATATTACACGAAATAATAATACAAGATGTGGAAGATGTTAGTATGACTGTCAGTCTGGTTTGGCGTGAACTACTATCGGCTCGACTCGATTCGTTCCTCTCTCTTGAGAGGCGTAGTATACATAGTGTTAGGAAGAGTTCATTCTGTAGTTATAGGTAAGGACCCATGACAGGTTTCCAGCTCCTTTACGATAGCATCGCTGTAGAGGTTGAATAAATCTGGGGAGAAGAAACATCTTACAACCTTTTTTTATTTTAGTACATCGAATCAATTCATTTTCTAACTATAATGTCACAAAAAAAAGTAGAGTCCGTTATATACTGATAGGAAATTTACCCATTTCTATGTTGTGGACTCTTCTAGTGACGTAAAAATATTTTACATACAAAATATATACTTATAATAATCGTGGCAGTAAGAATCTTTCTCAATATGCAATTAATGGGAGGCGGGTAGTGTAATGGGTAGCGATTCGCAATGAGAAATCGGATAGCCGAGTTCGAATTCCAGTCTAGTAATTTTTTTTTTTTTACATACGCTTATGCCCAAATAACCTTGGGAAAGGCATGAATCCATCTCTTCTCTTCACAGCTATGGGTTAAATATCCATGGTTGGCAATCGGTCTCAAAGAAAGAAGATACTGATTTTAAAACTGTAACTAGTCCAGTGGCTTGATAGATCTAGTTTAAGCAAAATCTATCTTAGATTTCGACCAAAACGCTCAATCAAAAACAACTTGTGTACAAACAAGTGTTGTGTAAGGATCCAGTAATCGATCATGCAACTAGGGTAAGGCAATTAACGAGTAGGTCGCTTAATAAACGGCTAGGTCGAGAATCATTGAAACGGTCAAGAAGTGTGAAATTAATAAACAGTGTAGTTTGACAAGCTCAATGCGATAGAAAAAATTTACCCCCGACTATCAACTACCTAAGAGTAAACTGAATTTTACTATCACATTTACATTTTACCTATAACGAGTGGTTATCCGCGATACTTCGAGTCGGGAAAGATAAGTTGAATATTTAATTTTATTGGTTGCTAATAATGATCTAGCGCTTCATACTGAACACTTTAATTACAAAAACTGCTTGCCTTAAAAGCGTTATCTTCAAGAAATACACTGGTCAACTGTTTCTGGTTTCTTAATTCAATCTTTGCTATTATATATGTGTGTACATGAATTGTGCTTTATATATATGAAATATCCTATGTATTATAAATCGTAAGCGTTCTTATATTTACAAAGTATATTTTTCCATTTATATTCTTACATAAAATTTTATCATTTTTTATACAGCCATGGATATCTATATTTCAGGTGAGTTAAAATATTTAATATTTTTCTAATGTGCATATATTTATATTTCCACCAAACTAAAAATTATTTTCTGGCTTTAAATAATCTGTAAAAGGTTGATAACTCATAAAAAATCAATCAATCAATGATTAACTACACATGTATGTCTTCTAGATTTATTTACATTCTCTGGAATATAAATGTATAGAAAATACGGTGGTCACAAAATGAGGAATCAGTTTTTATTGACTGTAATATGGAATTGACTCCCCACTTTATATGCCCGTTATAATTTTGTTGTGTGTTTATCAAATTCTGATTAGGTATGAATCCATCTATTTCCAGGTATGAGTTAATTTGTATGCCTAAACCATTATTATTTCCCCTCTAAATTCTTACAATCAAAAAAATGTTTTCTGGCTTTAAATAACCTGCAAAAGATTGCTTAACTTTCAAAAACAAATGAATCAATCAAAGATTAAAGTGCCCTATCTGTTAAATTCTGAAAGTTACTGATATAAAATTAACTTCCAACATAACATAACCTGCATCTTGAACATGAAAAATGAAGAGATGCCTTTACTTTTGTTGCATTAGTTCAAGCTTGGTAATAATGTTTCTCCAACATTAACAGAGTCTGGTGTGAAGAATCAATTTGGGATCGGACAGTACTGTGCTGGTTTCTGATATCCCATCATAGGGACACGAGTCTTGGAAATCAAGGTGGTAGTATCTATCTGCAAATGACAATTAATATTTCAAAACATTATTCCAAGAAAACCCATGCCAAGGTGTCAGAAAAATGTCTCAGATAATAATTGCCAGCATTTCAACAATATCGAACCATCACAAGTAAAGTGGCAAGGTCAGTGATAGTCAAAGAATTTGACGTTTTCAACGAAATTCGAATGATCCATATCTTGATTGAGTCGTGACTTGTGATGAGAAATGAATCCCGTCTTGATCCTGACGAAGCACCAAAATACTTTCCAAAACTGATATTGCACCAACATAATATGACGATGACTGTGTGGAGGTTAACCATTGACGTTATCTGTTACAGCTTTCTGGAATCTAACCATACATTGCTTGGATTACACTACATAAGTTCAACAATTTGGGATACGAAACTTTGCCCCATCCACCATATTTCCCAAATCTCTCGCTACTAACTACACCTATTTCAATAATCTTGACAATTTTTTAAGCCAAAAAAAGATATTCCACTGAAAAGATTTTTTTTCCATCCAAATCGTAAAGACATAAATAATCTTGTTAATGGGTCAAATGCATAGATATTAAGAGTTCCTATTTTGATCCTAATATCGGACATGTTTTTCCAAAAAACTTAATACCATGAACCATTCTTTGATAAACTTAATGCTATTTTTTTAATTCTTCAATTAATACTTTAATAATTTCTGAAAATCTGTTTGAATAAGTTGTAAAACAAGTGGATTTATTATTTAGGTTTGACAGCAATCTCGTCCTTAGGTTTTCTTGCAAGTTCTTCTGTTTTCTTGTATCTTGTACTTCTGTTGTCCTTTCTCCTCACTAAATTCTTTTCATTCTCTTTCCCTCCCAGTAACCATTGACATCTTAGTGGCATTATCGCCTTGCAGGAAGTGATTAACAAGAAAATAATTATATATAAAGTAATAGACAAAGTCCGACAATTTATGAAAGACATTTTTATGTTTAACGTTCTTTTTATAGATACAAGTATTTAAGTAAATACTCTGTTTATAATAAACAGTATTAAATAACATTTACCAGCGTGAATGTCCGAGCAATTTTCATAGAAAATATTCGTCCTTTGACAGGATTCGAACCTGCATCCTATACGGAACCGTCATTTACGCTGAACGTGCCTAACCTCTCGACCACAAAGGTTCGTTCGGCCGGCGAGGCCGAATTTACTGCTTATAAACTTCAATCTTCCATGAATCTCGTACATTCATAATTGCTCATGGCGTATCAAATGTAAACAACTGACGTCATACATTAAGAAATGGACAAAGTCCGACAATTTATTTATTAAAGACTTTTTTATGTTTTCTCGGACATTCAGGCCGGTAAATGTTATTTAATACTGTTTATTATAAACAGAGCATTTACTAAAATACTTGTATCTATAAAAAGAATGTTAAACATAAAAATGTCTTTAATATATATATATATATATATACACAAACACATTATATATATGAATATATATAATGTATATATATATATATATATATATATATATATATATATATATATATATATATATATATTGATAAATGAAATTTGCAATATCTAACTGCTTACTGCTAACACCCCTATCTATTTTTGTCGATTAAAGAAAGAAACTGTAGCCGAGCCTATGACTTTTGACCTGTATTTATTTTATTTTAGTCCCTCTTGTATTCTATCGCAAATCCAGATCGTCATTTTACGATTGTTAATACGCAGCACAGCTGGTCGGAACTAACTTTATCCTTGAGAGATTACTTTTCCGTAGTAACTGCTTTACCGATTATACAACGAAAACCAATTACCAGAAGTCATCTAAATCTAGCCATATAGCAATATTCCTTATTTTCTATTAATACCAATAGACGGTGATTATTTTTCACGTTTTCTGACAGTATTAATTGCAAATGATCGCTGAATGATAATATAGGAACTGCAATAAAACGATGAAAGAAGTAAAAATGTCAATGCATTTCAATATTTAAATTATTTTCCTGAAAATGAAACTTATTTTCTCTTTTTCATAATCTATTTCAGATCTATTGCATCATCATTTTGACAGTAAGAAAATACTTTTCTTTTCTTTTCTTTTCACTAAACATCAGCTTATTTCAACTATTATTGCGAGTGTGACAATCCGAAAATAAAAAATGTTGTTTTACGAGCAATACCCATTAAATTTGCAATGAATTCCTATTTTAATTTCCTGATAAATGTCGCAAGGAGGGGAAAACTTGAGTTTTCTAATTATATCATTGCTGAATAAATTGGATAGGCCATGAGAAATATTAACATAAATAAAAAAGAACATAATACTTCCTCAAATAACCCGAAACATATCAGCCTACTATACTGTAATCAAATGCATTATAACTATAAACAAGATGAAAAATTCATTACAAATGTCATAAGTACTAATATATTCACCAATGACCCCAATAAGAAAATAAAACTAATTGTATATTATACTAAGTTTAACACAACCAACTTAATCATCCGCAATAATTATTCTCCGTCAATTTGTGTTTCTGAAAAGACAAACATTGTATATCAGTTTAAATGTCCCTAGGGAGATTGTACCTCGGTCAAAAAGTAAGTATATATGTTGGTTTCACAGCCACAACATTATCAAGAAACTTTACACTTTATTTGTCGGATACAAGTTCTATTGCACAACATTTAAAGAGACATTCCTGTCCACCTTCACAATACAGGAAAATACTTGTTGACAACACCAATATACGACACTACGAAAATAATAAACAAAAACTTCAAATTCTCGAGGCCTTCTATATGAAAAGGAAGCAATCAACATTGAACAAAATTTAATAGGAATGGAGAAGCCACTTGCATTTAACGCAATTTTAACGAATTTTTATCGTTTATATATATATATATATATATATATATATATATATATATATGGTTGGCACCCTGACATTGGGATTCGTGATTTGAAAACACTCCATAACTACAATGGCTAAAATTAAATTTTAAAATAATGGTAACAGAGTGCATTCACGCGTGTTTTAAAATCACCAACACAAGGATAACAGTTACAATATGTATGCCTTTTTAATTCACACCTGATATATATATTTATACATATATACATATATATATATATATATATGTATATATATGTATCTATAATATATACATATATATATATATATATATATATATATGTATATACATATATGTACATATATATATGTATATATATATATATATATATATATATATGTATATATATTCATATATATGTATATTCACATATATATCTATGTATATGTATATATATATGTATATATATTCATATATATTGATATATATATATATATATATATATATATATATATATATATATATATATATATATATGCGATGGTTAAATTGTCATCTAAATGACACAAAAATAGAAATAATACTGACATCTCTATAAAAAATTGCACAAAATACTAAATAGCAAATTTATTCAATAAAATCGCCATTGGCTCCAACCATGACTTTGGAATTTCCTGCAACTCTTCTGATCGGTCTCCTTGTTTAAGTTGGTGAATTCTGCCATAATCCTTGCCTTCACTTCATCTTTGTTGTTACAAAAGGTTTATTTGGTCTATCCCTTAACTACGCCCCCACACATAATAATCAAGGCTGTTGCAGTTTTGAGAGTTAGGTGGCCAGATATAAAAGGTGATGTGGTCACAGAAATTGTCTGACAGGCTTGACTGGGTTGTCCTGCTTGAGTGGAATGGTGCAGAATCCTGTTGTCAGACACAGTGTCTTACAGCAGCCACCTACTTGACCCAGAGCAGAACTGCCTCCTCAAATCATTTGATGCAGGCCTCTGTGTTGAGTCTGAGACCCTCACCAACAGACGGGAGTTTTTTCTTATCAGAACGAACAGAATGATTTTTCACAACTGCCATACCTTGGTAATCACCATCAGACTCACCCAACTCTTTTCCGTATCTTTTGCACTGTCCTCAGATTGAGACCTCAAACACTCTGAAATGTTCATATTAGGGATTCCGGTACAAATTCCAAGCAGTACAGCATGCCGTTTACAAATTTCTGGCGAAGAGAATTGCGTGATGGTGCTCTTTTTCTCACAGACGGTGCCCAACTGACCCTACTATACTGTGCAGTCATGAAATCAAAAACTAACAACGCGCTTGAACGAAATTAAGAATATAAAATAACGACAATATACCAATCATATATATATATATATATATATATATATATATATATATATATATATATATATATATATATATATATTTAATGAAAAACAGACCACTTTAAGGTACCATTACAATAATTTATTTCACCAAAATCCTTTTTAAAGGATTCCGGATCATCAGGTAACCGTTCCAACAATGAAATGAGAGGAAAAATGGGATTAGAAATTGATGGGTAGTGTATTTTTTGTAATTTAACAGGGAGGGTGAAAGTGGCAGTTAAAGAGACAATACAAAGTATAGGGAGGGTTAAATTTATATCTCTCTTAAATAAGCTTTATATTGGGGTAGGAAGAATGACCTAACCTTGACCTATTTATATGGTTAAAAAAAACGGAAGTGATATGTAGGAATAGTGAGGAAAGTAAATGAAATAAAAGGAAAAAAAGAGAAAAAAAAGAGAAAAAAGTGGAAAAAAGGCAGACGTATCCAAATGAGTTTTATGGCAAAGAGAGAGGGGGAAAGTGAATCGAAAGAGAGAAAAAAAATAAATATATATATATATATGTATTCCACATTAGCGTTATATGGATGTGATTCCTTTGAATATTCAGTGTTACATACACACAGACATATATATATATATATATATATATATATATATATATACAAACCACATTAGCGTGATGTGAATGAGATCTCTTTGAATATTCAGTGCTACACACACACACTCACACATACACACATACACACATAAAATGCATAGCATCTAATCCATGCCAATCTCAAACACAATCCACCAAGAAAGAATAACCATAATATATGTGAATAACACCAATAAAATTTACAACTACACTCTTTAGAAAACACAAAAAAGAGAAATTATATAGGGCCGCGAACAGACACCGACAAAAGCATATAGACGAAAAGAAACAAAAAAACAATTAGACGAGCATAAACGAACACACAAACATACACGAGAAAGTGTGCCCATATTTGTATGTATGTATGTATACTTACATACATGCACACGCACAAACATACGTATAAACATACAACCACACAGAAAAACAAATACACATATAAACACACACCTGCGTAAAAACTCATAAACACACAAAAACACACTAAATATATATATATATAATATATATATATATATATATATATATATATATATATATATATATTATTGATTGATAAATAAAATTTCCAATATCTGACTGCTTACCACTAACATCACATGAAAATTTAAAGTAAATATGTAAATATGAGTTAAGTGAAAAAAACTGTATTTCTAATCATATATATATATATATATATATATATATATATATATATATATATATATATATATATATATATTTCTTTAGTATTGGTAAATGAACTTTCCAATATCTGACTGCTTACCACTAACATCACTATCCATTTTTGCTGACAAAGAAAAGAATCTGTGGACGACCCAATGATTAACTCCGTTCTGAATGACTTACGTTAACTTTTGACTAGTATTTATTTTATTTTAGTCCCTCTTGTATTCTATCGCAAATCCAGATCTTCATTTTACGATTGTTAATACGCAGCACAGCTGGTCGGAACTAGAATCCTTTATCTCTGAGAGATTCCTTTTTCCGTAGAAACTGCTTTACCAATTATACAACGAAAACCAATTACTAGAAGTCATCTAAATCTAGCCATATAGCAATATTCCTTATTTTCTATTAACACCAATAAACGGTGATTATTTTTTACGTTTTCTGACAGTATTAGTTGCAAATGATCGCTGAATGATAATATAGGAACTGCAATAAAACGATGAAAGAAATAAAAATCAAAAATTAATATTTGTCTATTCATTTCAATATGAATGCTATTTTCAAGAAAATGAAATTTATTTTTTCTTGTTCATAATCTATTTCAGATCAGTTACATGGGCATTTTGAAAGTAAGAATATTTTTTATTGTTCTTTTTTTTTCTTTTTTTTTTTTTTTTGTTACCAAAAATTAACTTCTTTCGTTTTTATTTGTCGACAGATATTACGAGCGTAACAATCTGAAACCATAACTGGTTTACGATCAGTGGCCGTGAAATTTTCAATGTATTCCTATTTTAATTTCCTGGTAGAACTCGCAAAGAGTTTATTGCAGCTCCTTGCAAATTCCGTAAACACAAAATTATCATAGAATATGGCTTTTGGGATATCGTTAACTTAACAATTTTAACAAAATATTGCAGCAACAACTATAAATATGAATGCATGACATTATTTAACGACATAAGAGGATACAAATGAAAACGTTCAGAATTCGCAAAGTTTTCTATTTCATTGCAGCAGATGTTAAACGCATGGGAGCGTTATCACCTCCTCTATCTTTCCTGTTTACTTTTTTTTTTCTTTCTATTGTTTCTTTCTCTCAAAAACAAACAGCGTCTCTAATGTATCGCCTTTTTCAGTCTTTCCTCGCAATCAAAACGGAACGGTCCATTATTAATCTGAGGTAATGGCAGAATGTAACGCACATTTTAACTAACTCACTGACGAACAGAGTATAATTATAATTGATGGTAATGACAGTGGTGGTGATGATAGCGGTAAATGATGGTAATTTTCTTTGTTATAAGCAATTTTTTAAAAAATATGAATCATATTTCTACCGAGAACAAGAAAACTGCGTCAACTTGACGAAGCATTTGATGATAAACTGGTCAAATTGGTTTCTTGATTAAATGCTTTAAACTTCTGAGATGTGAGATAAAATTTGTCTTAAGGTAAAAGAACCAAAGACGAGAAAGGGGATTTTTTCCTTGCTCCTTCAAAAAATTAAATTAAATTAATTATTTAATTAAAGATTAGGACAAAGCATGAACCTCTTTTCTAAATTAAGTTATTTTTCTATGCACCGTGTCCCTTCAGGACGTGGGCTATCATTGCTCTCCCCAGTTGCCTGCCTTTTCTGGCTCTTTGTAAAGTTTGTCTTCATTACTTATTCTGCCAGTCGTTCACGCAAGCTCATTAGTTAGGTTCTGCGCTGCCTTCCTTTGTCTTTCTTGCCCTAATATGTCCTAATATGTCCTAATATGTCCTAATATGCCCTAATATGTCCCATGTTTGTCAAATTTTCATCATTGTTCAGTACTATTTTCTTTGTTTCTAACGAACATTTCCTGTTTGTTAATACTTTGCTTAGCTTTCGCAATGTGATTTCAAAAACAATCATATATGACAAGGCTCTCTTTCAGTTTAATCTCTGTAATTGCACTTGTCTTTTCAAATACTGGATTAATTTTAACCCACGCCTGGTAGAAAATAGCACCCTGCAATTTTCTTTGTAAAAGGAAAGCTTTCAAAATCATTCATAGTTTCGTTTAGTTGCCATTCTCAGACGTGTTCTCTTGATCTAGAAATTTTAAAAAGAATCCAGGAATTTACAGTCTTCTTTTGAAAACTTGAAATGGTGTAATCAGAAAGTGGAATCAAACTGTCCAATAAAATAAACATTCTCCGTCTTTTCTATCCTCCTAAATGGAAGTGAAACATGAGTGACATATGCCCATCACATAAAATTACTTGAGCGATTTAACCAGACATGCATGACACATGTGATGTACGTACGATGGTTCTCATGATATAGCGATATCAGTGTCAGCCGATATCTTGTTAAATGAAAACATCTGAAAGATGTTACAGAAATTGTTTCAATAGTTATTATCTGGATGATTATCAGTGAAATGGACCTCACCAGGGCTATCTCAAACGACCCTGACAAGAAGGTCACTGAATAGAACAAGACACTGAGAGAGGACTAAGAGACTGCAACGCCGTGACACGAAAAGGAAGACACAGGCGTTAGACGGTCCACCTCTGCCTCGCTTGTCTACAGCAGAAAGCTACAAGCAGAGTAAAATCTGTCTACTGTTACAATAGAACCATGGTTATTTTTTAAACCACAAGCGTTTGTCTGGAATAAGCTGCACTAAATTGTTGAATATAGAATCTTCCATTCACTATGAGAGGAATACCAGCTCATACGATTAGTCACAAAGTGTGTCGCAAGCATTGCCACACTAACTACAGCATTCGCTATTATTGTATTGTTAATCCATGATTGAACAGTTTCTTCACTAATCCGGTGTTTTCCTTGGAATATTATTAACCAGAACTACGAGTTTATACGTGTATTATAAATTTCCCTAGGAACAATTCTATGTACGTGTATTGGGACTCAGATTAACCACAAACTTCAAATAAAACTCATAGCAAGATGTCTTACTAAAGATAGTAGAAAATATTGTGTCCTTCTACTGTTCAAGAAAGTAGCTGACTCCTTCTGTAACGTTTTCTGTTTACCAGAGTCAGATCCAACCAAAAATGGAGAAATACTGACATATCTGAGATAGAGCTACCAAATCCTCACTTTCTAGCCTTGAAAGTTCAAAATCGTTTACACGAACTTCTGAGGGATGACTTTTTCCCACACTACAGCTGCTTTTCCTAGACGCAACATCGCCTATTGTTACTCTATCGATAATTCCATGGTAAATATTCAAACGAACTCCGTTCTTTAGCACCATCAACTCAAACTTTTGCAGCCCAAACACGCTTTTCGTTGTCCACAGGGTTGAATTACTCTCATTCCCTACACATTCTTTTTGTAAGAAGGGATGTTTCACTGGGATATGTTCTTCCCAAGAACTGCTACTTTGTGGAAAAGTCACTCGCATAGATGTTTCTCTGCGCTCATAAAGCTTAAACTCTTCAAATTTAGGGTCAATCGCTATCTATCCTTTGGCTTTCTATTGTGTGAACATTAATAAAAATAACAACAATAATAATATATAAGCAAAAGTCTTGCTTGGTTATACGTCTACTACAATTAATATATATATATATATTCTGTGTAGCAAATGTTCTTTAAGACAAATATTATAAAAGACGGCAGATATTTTGTGCTGATGCATTTTACTTTGATTTTTCCAAATTATGAATAATCCTTCTCAGACAAATGTCCGAAGTGCATTTCAGAAGAAAAGTACAAGAAATATCATGTAAGCTTTCGACTTTCTTAAGTCATCATCAGGGTAGGTTGGTGAGTGTTTTGACGCAGACAAAGTGTGTTGTGACGTAAGCTAGGTGTGACTTTTGCTTTTGTTTTGTTTTGTTTTGTTTTTTACATACTTTTGAGGATGCGGGCTCTTAAATTATAATTGGTTTTATTTATTCATGGTTGCTTTTGATGTATGAGTCTTGCTTGGATGATAAATCTGTTATATTATTTGATTTTGCTCGTATTTTGGTATTGTTTGTGAGTAGCTGCTTAATGTTACTATGATCCTTATGCTGCTTGTTAATGTGTATTATATATATATATATATATATATATATATATATATATATATATATATAGGATAAAATGGAAAACTTTTAATGACGTGTTTCCTCGACAAGGTTTGTCATCTTCAGGTTCAATTCCAATTCCAAACTGTAGACGTCGAACCGAACACATGTCATCGGCGAAATGCGTTGTCAAAAACCTTTCCACTTTGTCCCTTTATCTCCAGTTTTGTTTCGGATGTTGTTATGCATCCTGCTAACACACACACACGCGCGGGCACACACACACGTACGAGCATATATATAAATAAAGGGTTCATCTAGAAATTCCCTGAAGAAGGCTACAAGGAGGCCGAAAAGTTGTAATTACTACAAAGATGGAGACAATAGTAAATAAGAATAACTCCTAGTCCCCGAAATTCAGATAGAAATTTTCAAATTTCTATAAGCTTTTTTTACGCCCGCCTTTTCACTAAGAGGCAAAAATTCTTACTGAAAAGTTTTACTGGGAGAAACTCTGTTTACAATAACTTGCCTTCTCGCTAATTGATGATTCGACAATTCACGGTCGAATTCACGGTCAATCAATATCCTTCCTTTCTTTACATTTTTTCGGTAGCCGATGACAGAACATGGCAACTAAATGTGATCATCTGATGACCATATATCCTTTATTAGTTTATTTGAAATTATATAAATTAATGCGGTTTTGGGGGGGGGGGTTATGAACCCGGTATATTTTTTATCACTTTAAAGCGGAGAGCGCATATTTTTACTTTTAATAAGTTTTTTCGAATGCTCAGGCTGGCAGACGAAAACAAATATGCTGTTTGATAAATAAACGGAGCGTCTACTCAAATATGAGTATCCAATAAAAATAACATTTAAAATAATAAAAAAAATTCTGTTAGGTTGATAAATAAAAATCCATTATTTTAGAAAATTATTTTGTTTGCGTTTAAGATACAAAACTGAGCAGATATGCAAATTTCGAGGAATTTATGACGAGAAGAATTTCGCTTAAAGACATTGTTAAAACAATCATATATTGATCAACAAGGATGCTTCGTGGCCGAGTTGATTAAGGCACATCGGATCTAACAACGGTATCCCTCACCCTAGTGACACGCAGGCTTGTATCCTGTCGGAGAGTCTATATCTTTCTTTAATACGATTTCTCCAATATTCAGGTCGATAAACGAAAATAAATAAATGTACTGTTTAATAAATAAACGGGCGTCTACTCAAATATGAGTATCCAGTAAAAATAACATTTAAAGGAGTTATGGAATTATGTCTATAATAAATTGTGTTCTATTGTTATTTAAACAGGCATGAGTTTAAGCATGAAAATGAAAAGTGATGGGTTGAATGCATTTAAAATACCACCACGTAAGTAAACTCATCATTTCCGAAATTGTTGTTTCAGATATATACATTATTTACCGCGTGTTTTAATAATCTGATTGACCACTTTATAGAAAGGATGTTCTCTTTCTTTCTTTCCCTCTTTGTGTTTGTGTGTGTGTGCGTGTGTGTGTGTGCGTGTGTGTGTGCGTGTGTATGTTTATGCACGCCATGTCCCTTTTCAATTATATTGTTTCGTAGTTATATCGCCTTGATTATTTGTTAGCAGGGCCATCAATACAACAGTATTGGCAAGACGTAATGGTCGAGTGAACTAAGTAAGGAACTAACTAACGAAGAGAGGGCACGGTTTTCATATTTTAATATTCTGGTAAATCTAAATTCTTACGATAATGATTGAATAACCTCGTGGAGAGTTCTAGAACAATAACATATCCGTAAAATTTCCCTTAACACATCGTTAGAAATTTAAGCTTAACAACTTCAATAAAAGTATTTAGCAACAATCATGAAATGATTTGAAATTAACATTTTTTTCCATTTCATTTAAACAAACATTAAACACTTCTTTCTTTCTTTCTTTCTTTCTTTCTTTCTTTCTTTCTTTCTTACTGAAACCAAGTAGTGTTTTTGATATGGCATTCCACGCAATTAAAATTAAATAGTCCTATTATTTATGAGGTATTAGCAGAAGACGACAAACACTTTTATTCTCCCTTCTTTCTTTCTGTCTTTCATTTTCTCATTGAAACCAAGTTGGAATCTCTGATATGATATTTTCGTCTTTTCACACAATCAAAACAGAATAGTCCATTATTTATAAGGATATGGCTGGGCGTAATCACCGTGCGAACTAAGCGGGAGTCAAGAAGAATTATAATGAGATAATACTAAAACTCTAATCTTAAACGATACATAATACCCCAACCATATATGCTCTAAAATGAGCATATTTTACCTTGAACCCCTCCCGAGTACAGTGTCTAATTTCATATCGTTTTGCCATCTAATCTTGAGGAACGCCTTTGGCTGTACATAAGCACATTGCATGATACCCATAGAATATATTGTTACAGAATGTAGAAGCTGGAATAGAATGACAAACTACTGGTCAGAAGACTCACCCCACCCCACGTGGGCGTGGAATTCTGACAGTGATCGATTGTCTTTATCTAAGTTTTGGATATGAGACCAAATCGAAGCGAAGACAGCAGATGATTACAAAAAGTTTGAAGAGTCAACACGCCTACTGCTAGCCAGCACGTGGTGAAATGCCAAACCTGGGTGTCGGCATGCATTCCCCTAACCATCTTCCCCCACTACCGCCTAGAATCGATTAAGCCACATCTGTCCCTCTTGTATCTCTATCTATAAAAGGCAGGATATGTGTGTGTGTGTGTGTGTGTGTGTGTGTGTGTGTGTGTGTAACGAATGCACGGCCACAATTTTCGACGGATTTGCACCAAGATTTACATGCACATGCTCCAAGTTAATGGGAAGGCCAAGACCGACTTTGCATTTTCCAATTCCCATCGATAGTGCAAATAATCGATCTTTTCATGCTTCTACGGCAGTTTTCATGTAGTTTGCGGCCATTTTCTACTGACCAGAGTGAGAGCCTATAGCTGGCTGCCATGAATAGGCAGGAAGATTCTATTGGCCAGCGTGAGAGCCAACAGCTGACTGACACGAATGTTAACTAGCATGCTAGCATGCAAAAAAAATCGATGGCTGCATTCGTCACAAGTGGGAAAAATCTAAATCTGCATGGCACTTTACTCATTCGCTTGCTTAAACTCAACGTTGATTCTGATTCCGCAGAACTGGGTTGGGTGTGAAAAACTATTTGTTGTTAACATTCTTTTTTCATTCGGTTTTTCCAGTTACGACTCCTTTTTTAAAGCTGATCGTCTTGTATTCATTTTGTTTAGTTCTTTTTTCGTAGCAGATTTAATGTTTAGGAAAAATTCGCAGTGTGAGATAGGCAAGAAGTAAGGCATGTAGCAACATCAGCACGGCAAAGGGCACTCCTTTAAAGGCAAGGAAGGGCAAAAATATTTTAAGTCAAGTAATAGCGACTGCTGTATGAGTCGTACGATTTTTTAATCAAGCACGGGCAACGCCGGGCCATGCTGCTAGTAATATACAAAAAAAATCGTCCTTTGCTTATAGTCTATGATGTGGCGTTGATGTCCGAAGAACGTTATCGTTGTTTTACTCTGCTCAAATAGACAAAACTGATTCAAATAGATGTAATAATTTTAACGATGTTTGTTTACGCTATTATATTTTATAGAGAAAAATTACCGTTTGAATTTAATAGGAGTAGATATGTTCACCTATCACCCAGTTTATACTCCTCACTCGTCTTTTGTACAGAAGCAGAGGTTTATCTGTTTTTTCCTGTTTAGAATTGGACTTCCGGTCCCTTCTCTTAAATGTTTCTCATTTATATTCTTTACAGTATCCCATTACTTCTTCATAGCATTATCGCCTTGACTGGGGTGAAATGTTTTTAAAAAAATATTAGAATTGTTACAAAAGTTGAAGAAAATTACGAATGTATAGATTCGTAAAAATGCGAAAAAGTTACAAAAACATATTTAGAAAAAAGAAGCCTTTTCTGCTTAAAAATCATTGAACATTTATTAAATGTCGTTCTAATTTCAGTTCCGGAAAAAGGCAAGCAGAAGACACCAGGTGAGTATCATTACTTAAAGAATGATAAACTTTGAAAGTTGTAGACATTCGCTGAAATCCGGCCATTGTTCGATATCAAGTCAGTTCTTATTTACAGAATTTAAAATTAATTAAAATTGTTTCTCGACTTTTTAGTTATGTCCGTTTTTATAACGACCATAAATAAAAAGTCAAGTACAGAAAAACCACAACTACCATAGTTGGTACGAAAAATAGAAATACAGAAACAAGAGGTTGTTTGGTTGGGTTTGGTTTTATTTAGCGGCATATCAACACCTCTATAGGTTATTTAATGCCGAAATCTAAATATTTTGAACACAGTTTTATGGCTTCAACTATGGATAAAATGAATCTTTAGTCATTTTGCTATATTGTTGTTAACTTTACTTTAAAATTGTATAGTTAGTAATTTTACTATAAATATATATCATTGGTAATATTTTTATATAAAAATTTATTGCTGGTATTTTTACTGTAAATGCATTTTTATACTTTCATAGTGATTGGAGGTTCACTATTTGACCATAGCTGTGTCCCTTACAGGTGTACCACTCCGAGTCAGGGTGGACCTGGGAACAACAGCAATTAAAAGATGGTTAATTAATAAAAACATCCAACCTTCCGGTCAGATGCCTTGCTAATGGATGCAGACCCAGAACTACAGAAGCAAGAGAAAATAAATCGAAAAAAATTATTTTTCAAGATTGTTCCTTTGTTCAAGATTGTAGTTTCCCATCCTGTTCCAGATTCTACATTCTGTAACAATATATTCTATAGGTATCATGCAATATATTCTATAGGTATCATGCAATGCGCTTATGTACAGCCAAAGTCTATATTTAAAAGTAATTGGATTTTAAGTCCATACCAAAAATATACACATACATCCACATGATTCATCAGATTCTATGTTACATAGATATAAGTCTACTATTCGTCCTTGTTTGAATGGTTTGTTACTCCTGCTATATATTTAGAGATTCTTCATAAAATCCAAGAAATATGCAACATGGCAGCCCGGCTTCAGTCACTTTCCCACCGCAGTAATGCTGCTTCCCTATGCCTTTTTTAGATATATTTTCATGGTAATTGTTCTGATGAACTTTGCTCTATGGTACCTAGATTTTATGAATTTAAGTGCAGTACTAGATTGGCAGTAAGGTCTCATCACTTTGCAGCTTAAATGGCTAGATGTAGCCGTTAGTTCTATGCTAACAATTTCCACTCTCGCACTTCCTCGTTGTGGAACTCTCTTCTGACTTCTTGCTTCCCAGTTAACTTTGGACATATTCTCTAACACTTAGTAACCCCTTTTACTTAGGGTGAAATTATTTTTTTTAAAAAAATGGATGGAAGGAAAAATATTGAAATGAGCTTTCTTCCTCTTTTGTGTTTCTGTCTGTTGCTAATTTTCGTACCAACTACGATAGTTGCTATTATTCTGTACTTGACTTGATAATTATATCCGATGTTATTGCCATAATAAAATTCTATACATCTAACAAGATCTTTAATTATTATTATGATTACTAATAATCATTATTATTATAGTGTGATAACTTTAAACGACGGCTGACAGTGAAGAGGGTAGAAGGATCCAAAATTATTTCTTAGATTTTTATTAAGAAAATGTTGTATTCTTAATAAGACGAAGAGTAAGCAATTCTGAACTCGGCATTTACAATTTAATAGACTTGGAATTGTCACGTTGATTTGACCAAATTATATCACGGACTGAACGGAATAGCTGAAAGAAAAAGGAATGGTAAACATGCTTTGTTCTCAAAGAGAATGTTATACCACTTAGTCGTACAAAAAGTCATATATACATATTTACACGCCCCACGCAGAGAAAATATAGCACGCACCTACACAACAAGCAGAGTGAAAAAGAAAACGAAAAAAAAAGAGCCTTAAGTGTAATAATTTCCAACGGGATTTGATTCTGACGAAGACACTTTTGTGTTTCTGGAGACGCCATATTTAGGATCCTAGATTCGCGCGTGACATATTCATTTGCTATGCCGCTAGCTAGGACATATTCAACAAGCAGGAAACAGTGAGTCCTTGGTTTTTCCCAATATGGGGAATGCGATCTGGGGATATTTTATATATTTGATGAAGATATATTTCTATAGGTAAAACGCGCATAGACTGCCATATGTGACTAGGCGGTTAGGCAGATTTAGCCTCAGCCCGAGTTGAGAGACTCTGGCTAAAAAAAACAACTGTTCGGTCTTACTCCTGCAAGCTGATGACTGACTACTGTTGTCACTATGAAGTGACGTCACTAAATGGGCGTCACGTAACACACGTGACTTTATCTCAACCAAAGGAAGATTATTAACTTTCGTATCCCTACATATATAATACTAAAACTCTAATCTTGTATCTATGTATGTGTTTTCACGAGATACAGCTTAAATGGTACATAATACGCAAAACAACTTCGGAGAATATTGTTCTTGTTGTAGCATACCTACGGACGATACTGGGTATACCCTCATTCACATAAATACAGTAATAAATACTGTATGTTGGTCTGCAGTTGGAGAATCATTGTGGAATTCACTTGACTCATTTCTAGGAGTGGACTACTTCTTCTACACGCCGCTGGCGAATCTTATATGTGTTGTTCATGTCTTCAGTATTATCGTTCATTACCAATCTTCGTGTGATTTTTCTATTCAATAACCTTCCCTAGGTTACAATAGTTTTTGAACTCCTGTCGAGTGCTGTACTGAATTTCATTAAAATTAGGCAAGAGGTTCTTGAGAAAGGGTCGTTTTATATGGCACTTTAATAGGAAATACAGTATTTGTATTCTTATATCAATCCACGTATATAAGCACTTGCATATTATATTCCAACTATTTTGTATGTGAAAAATGATAAACACGCGTAATAGTTTCTAACAACATTAATAAATTTAAATTTATGTTATATCTAAAATAGACATAACACAACATTTATTTATACAATACACTGCACTACATTTGTACCTCTTTTATAAACAAATAGAGAAAATTCATTTAACCCTGTAAATTTATACTTTTCGACATCTCCTCCTACCATGCTGAATATCAATCACACAGATCAAAAATTGCACAGTGAAAAATTAAGACCAAAGTCGAGCTGATAATGACGTATTAGATTACAGATTTACTGATTAATCCTCGTACATACCTAAATATACCCAGCTACCCATATATGTTTATATATAAGTATTTGCATATACTTTCAGTGACTTTAAAGAGGCCTCAAGATAAATCAAGGAGATTCATTAATAATTCCGGTGAGTATATATAATTTTATATTGTATTAAGACCATCTGCGCACCATGATATTAATATAACTGACATTGGTTTCTACAGAGACGATGGTCTCATGGTTATTAGAAACTCAACTAACTTCAAAATAGATAAAATTAGAAAGGTATTATATAAAGAATTTAAAAGCATGGGCTTAAAAATTACAGTTAGCACTAAATTAAAAAAAGTTAACTTTCTTGATATAACATTAGATTTAAAGAAAAATACATACACTCCTTATAAAAAACCCAACACCAATCCTTTATATATACACCCTAAATCAAATCACCCCATCTATAATTAAGCATATACCGTTATCTATCCGAAAAATAATAAGTACAAATTCAGCAAATGACAAGATTTTCGATGAGCATATCAATTCCTATAATAAACTTCTAAAAGATGGTGGCTACAAAAACAAAAAACTAGCTTATATTAAAAATGAAAATGAAAAGCATAGGAAAAACAGAAGTAGAAAAATAATTTGGTATACACCCCCATACAACCAAATGGTAGGAACAAATTAGGACAAAAGTTCCTCGCATTAATAGTCAAGCATTTTCCTAGTGAAAGTAAACTAAGTACTATTTTCAATAAAAATACACTAAAATTGAGTTACAGCTGTACGGAAACATAATGCTAATATCGTAAATAAACACTTATACCAAAACCAAAAACATTTAGACAATGGAAAAATAAAAATAAAAACTGATGAGGATAAACAAAAATTATGCAACTGTAGAAACCCTCATAATTGCCCTCAACAAAATAAATGTCACACGGTATCATTAATATACCAATGCAATATCTCTTCGATTGAAAATCCTGAAAAGATAAATATATATATAGGTTGCACTAGCCATGAGTTCAAAAAAAGATTCAACCAACATCAAAGTTCATTTAGGATAAATAAATATAAAAATCAAACGTCTCTCTCGAAGTACTTTTGGAACCTAAAATAATCAAATAAAACACCTACAGTAAAATGGAAGTAAATAAGAAAAGCTAGAATATGTAGGTCATTAAATGACCCATGTCCTTTGTGCATACATGAGAAACTATATATTACTAAGTTTATGAAAAATACAAATTTACTAAATCAGAGAAATGAAATAGCTATTTTATGCCGTCGTTGTCAAAAATTTTTTAAAAATAATATTTAAAAATAAAATTAAAAAGTGCGACCTGGTAATATACATACTTATATTTAATGGGAAAATATAATTTATATACTGTAAGTAATTCTATTACATTTACTTGTTTTATAAATAAAAAATATAGTCTATTAAAATTAACAGGGAAAATATTTTAAAGTTGTATTTAAAATTGTAGTTAAAACGAATTCTAACCTAAACATCTTTTAAAATTGTAGTTAAATAAAACGTATTCTAACCTAGACGACTCTCTCAAAGTACTACTAGCACTTAAAAGAATCCAATAAAACACCTACAGAAAAATGAAATTAATATGAAAAGCTAGAAGATGTAAGACATTAAATGACCCATATCCTTTGTACTTACATGAGAAACTATATATTACTATAATTATTACTATTATAAGTTTATAAAAAATAAAAGTTTACTAAATCAGAGAAATGAATTAGCTATTTTTGCCGTCATTTTCATAAATTTTACTTAAATAATATTTAAATTTAAAACTTTTAAAAATTGTGACCTGGTAATATACGTACTTATACTTGATGTGAAAATAATTTCACATACTGTAAGTAATTCTAATACATTTACTTGTTTTAAAAATAAATATAGTATACTGAAAATTAAAAGTGAAAATATTTTTTTAAATCGTAGTTAAATAAAACGTATTCTAACCTAAACACCCCTAAAAAATCTCTAAGTATACAAATAGAAAAAAATGCCGTAAGAATTTTTGCCGTTAGCAATAAAATTTTTTTAAAAAAATCCAGGCGATATGCATTTAACGGATGTCAGAATTCGTTGAAAAATACATCCCTACTCCTACCTAAACGAAAACCCTTCTTCAAACGTAACTAATAACTGATACATCAAAATACAGCGATAATGAACACGCAACCACCCCTTGTCTAGATGAATGGATTTCTCTGTATCCTTGGAAACGTGAATTATGATTTTTTGAAGTGCCTTTAAAACCCAGTAATTTTAAAAATAAGTTACTCCAAAATTCGCTTGAGGATGAAATGGAACTAATGTCTTTAATTTAATTACAAAATTAAATTCGAAGCTTTTAGCTTCCATTTTTTAAATATGGTTAGAACTGTGTAGCGAAAAAAACATATTTTAAATCAATTAATTTATAATATATATATATATATATATCGTGGGCTCCATATAGGTCCCATATCAATGAGATTAATGTCTTTTTCTTCTTTTTTTTAAACATATCACCCCAAGCAAGGTGGGAATGCCACTAGCACGCAAGGTTGTTACAGAGAGTGAAAGTAAGAGTAAAGAGAGGTGTTTGAGGAAAGGATAAAGAGAATAATCAGAAGATGCCGATTGACATTACATTTGAATATTTGAAGATTATAGCTATCAAGGAAGCAAGTAAGAGGAAGGGAGTTTCACTGTCGGGAAGTGCGAGAGAAGAAGCTGTTGAAGTAGAAGTGACGGTTACATTTAACCGTTTCTACAGTGAAAAGGGTGGGATCGAAATGCCACTCTAGTAGCACGATTAAATTCATGCAGTTTGGGTACCAGTGAAAGTAGCTCATCAGAGCAGTTGCCATGAAAATATTTGTAGAAAAGACAGACGGAAGCCACAGTACGTCTGTCAAAAAGTGACTGTAATCGAGATGCCATACTGCGGGACACATTGCATATCCGTCTCTGGATTTTGTCTAGGACCTCGAGATGAACAGCAGAGGTACCAGACCATATATGGAAACAGCATTCAATGCGAGGGGGGATTTGTATATTTGTAAATGTGAAGGATGGACTCAGGCTAGAAAACCTTTCTGGCGCGATACACAAAACCAACTTGTGGAGTTGGGCATCAGCCATTCAGATTGGAGAATGGGAGGGTTCTCTATAATGGGTAAATGAGAGTAGTTTCGGTATTTGTGGCTATACTTTTAACGATAGGTTGTCCAGTGCCGATATTCTCGCAAAATGCAACATTTATGAAATTGAGATACTCTTGATACAGTCAAAACTTCGCTGGGCTGGTCAGTTTCCCAGGATGAGTAATAACAGAATACCTAAGGTCCTCAAATATAGCCAGCTTCACAGTGGATTTAGGAATTTTAAACGATCGTGACTCATGTATAAATATGTGAAAGAGTAATATCTCAACTGTCAATGTTCCTCATACTAACTTCGAGCGAGTTAGCCTGGATAGAAATAACTGGAGATATTTATATCAGATATTTTGAAATCAGTCGTATTGACGGGCTAAGAGACGAAAGACAACGGGGAATAGCTTCAGCAAATGTTCCTGTTCCTAGCCGCGAGATCCTCGCTGTCGCACAATATATGGACTTGTACACAAGCGGGACTGAAGTGTCACATACGACACAAACATAAAATGTGAATGCCGTTGTCAGATCTTCATACATCGAAATCGACAGGAGAGTGCATCATACATTGAAATATCAATTGAAAAACATTGAAATATAAAAAATTGGGCAATCTGGAACGTTATTGCAAAAAAAACGGTGGTCAAAAGGAAGTTTTTTTTACCATTTGACACCGCTATCATTTTAACTACCTTCGCTCCTCGGCAATTTTTATTACTTTAAAAAGTGACGATCAGACTTGTAATAATACATAAACATATAAAAGTGAATTTATACTTCTGTTTTTGTTCTTGAGGATTTACAACAGAAAAAATTAAACACTATTTATTTATTAGGTGCAAGAATAATTTTCTATTTACAACATTCTAAAAACTAATAGAATTGTATTAAAACTAATGCAATGCAATATTTATCGTTTACCAATTTATAAACACATAAATATGAAACCAGGTTTTTATTCATTAATTTATAAACATTTACTAAATTATTATGCAAACCAACTAGAAGGAAATCATTATTATTTACCATTTTATAAAATTTGAGTTGATTTACAATTAGCCGACGTTTTATCAAGATTTCCAATAAACACTCTAATAAATATATAGTGTTCGTTATCTTTGTTTTCAATTCTCAAGAACAAAGAAATTGTATAAACTTCCTTTCATATGTTTTTGTTTTATTAAAATTCTAAAAATCGCCTTTAAAAACAATAAGCATTGCCGAGAGAAGGGAAAATAATTAAATTAATAGCGGTGTCAAGGGAAAAACATTCGTTTGACACTGTTTTATGCAGGCACGAATTGCTAAGATTGACAAAATATTAATTATCTGGTCTGCTTATTTGATAGGAATATGAAAAATAAATTTGAAAGAACTATAGAAAAATTATTCCCATCATATGTTCGAACTTGTATGCATATAGGTATTTGTAAGTAAATCAGTATTCTTATTTTCCAGTTATTTCTTTTAATATTGGTCAGCATAATTCTTACAGTTTAGCACATTGGTAGAATCGTAAAGCTAGTTACGAAATGTTTTAACTTATCTTACGCCATTTTGTTCTTTTATTTTCAGCATATTTTTCTAAATCTCTAAAAGCACCACCGCCACGTAAGTAAAGAAGATTTTTAAATGTAAAATCATTTCAGTCCTTCAAAACGTGTATGTTTCCATTGAGTAAGCGAGATAAAAAAAGACGCATGCTTTGAGGGACAAAATATGGGATAATACGAGTGCGGGGTGAACATTTCATTTAATAACTGCACTTTTTCTTTCCAGGTAAACTGGTATTTCACTGATTTTATCATCATCTGTTCCCCAACATAAAAAAAAACATTTGACTGGGAACCAGTATCGTAGTGATGATGACATCATATATACTGTTCATGACTTTTTGAACCAATAGGATGAACAGTCTTCTTTGAACAGTCAGATGTCAATTTACCTGGAAATAAACAATACAGTTATTAATAAAAAAAAAAAAAAAAGGGTTGAAAGTAATGCATTCAAGATTTCACAGCTCTAGCATCATTCCTTCATAGTCAGCCTATGAACTTTTCGTCACACCCTCGTATTGCAGAGAATATCTTGCTAGCGAACATTTAAATGTTACGGTTAAAATTTAGATATTGGTAATTAAATTTAAATTCAAATGCTGCGATTAAAATTTATATTTATGTATTGACACTAAAATTTATATTTAAATACTGGTACTAACAAACACATTTCAATAGAGTAATTAAAATTGTAATCTGATATTGATATTAAAATTTAAAGATATTTTCAAGTTATAAATCAGTTATTAACTGAAGGAAGAAAGGACTTGTAAAGTTCAACGCTTCCAGAACGAAACTGCTGTCCTTTAGCCACCCTAGAGAACCATTTTTACCGTTCGTCAACATGGCTGAGAGCAACACTTTGCGCCTTCATGTTCTCGCGTTTTCTACTGACATGGAAATGGAATGATTATATTGAATCAATTGCTAGATCTGCTGCTAGAAAAGTTAGTTCACTGTGTTGTGCTAGACGATTTGGCGAGCCAGAATCCATGTTGTAAATTTATAAATCTAGCATTCATCCATTAACTATTGCTGCCATATCTTCAGCTATATATCTCAAGATTCTTGACAAAATTTTTTTTAAAAAAAGTGTCTGTAATGTAATGAGGCATGGTGGAGTAATAGATAGCGGCTCGGATTGAGGAATCGGCGAGCTGAGTTCGAATTCCAGTCGATTCCATTACATTCACTTACGTGCTAATAACCATCTTCTCACCCCCACCAGTTATGGGTAAGTAGGAGGACAGACCAGGACGGCAACTGGTCTACCGCAGAAAGAAATGGCAACCTACTGCGGGAAAAAATCTGCCTCGTCAGTCATGTATCGAAAGAAGCGTGTATCACATATGACACACATCTGACTGACTGAATGTAACTGATCCTCACCTGGTATCTCGACTTCAGTCACTTTCCCACCACCATGACGTGGTTTCTATATTTTCATGCCATTTGTTCTAATGAGCTCTCCTCCTTATTAAGTCGATGTTTTGTATTTAAGCGTACTCCTAGATTCGCTATTAGTGTAGCATATTGCTGATGCTTCAAATAAGGCGACGAACACTTATATATAAAAAATCTTTGTTGTTCAAGTTGCGGCGAATGGGTAGAGTGAGGGAGAATCATAGAAGTTAGGATTGCGCACATAGGAAGTGACGGAGATAAATCTTCGGTGAACCTCTAGCCAGCCTCTCTCCAGATAAAAAAAAAAATCGGAACAGTTAAATAATATTTGAACACCTACGCAACTTCACGTGGCTACGACTTCTTCCGGCATGTCGCCTACGCAAGTTCGTGCGGTCAGGCCACTTCCAGCATGCACCCACGCAAACACGTATTTCCTTTCGCTCAGTACACCTGCGCACCCTGTTTAATCAAGGCTTAGGACACCTGTGCGTCCTGTTTGTTTTAGCCACCGGACGCATTTTCAGTTTATGCTATCACCAGTTCCGATTTCCGCTTATACACTGATGCAGCGGAAGTAGGGCCAAAGGTCTTTCCTAAACCGATATTCAACATTAGGTCTGATCATTTTACTGTTGAACTAGATAGATGTAACCGTAAGTTTTATTCTAATAGTTGCATTTCTCACCCGTGGAAATCGGAAAAAGAGTTCTGTTTGCGTTAATTTCTGTCGAAAATAAAGACAAAAATTTTCCAACATTTGGATATTTTTTTATTAAGTTTGTCCTAAGCTTTTGGCTCACATGAGTTATCTTCAGAGTAGTTATATTTAATAATATATGTTTAAATAATGATCTGCTGCCCAAATACACTAAATACACACACACACACACACACACACACACACACACACACACATATATATATATATATATATATATATATATATGAATAAAAAGACAAGAGGTAAAATTACAAAAAATATTAAAAAATGCTATTCAAAATTATATAGATATTTCTTGAATATTACTGGCTTACTTTACCAAACTTTGAATTATGGCACTGTGTTCACAATGTGTTTTGACTGACCGTTCAGCCACCTGAAAAATATTCACAAACGTACTCAAATTTAAAAGCTTTGATAAACCAATGACACAGTTAGTTTTGTATATAAACACGTGCAACAAAATAAATCCTACATTGACTTGATAAAGTACCTCAGAGGATGAAAAGCGTCGGTTAATAATAGTTTTTCTCTTGTCTTTTATTTATTTTGTTCTTTTATCGATACACTCTATTTGAAAATAATTTACATACACACACAACTATATATATATATATATATATATATATATATATATATATATATATATATATATATATATAACCCTATCCTGACGAGACCGTAAGATCGAAACCTGGGTTGTGCCTTATGCGTAAATTTCATCTAATCTTTTATTTATGTTCTTTCTCTCTCTCTCTCTCTCTCTCTCTCTCTCTATATATATATATATATATATATATATATATATATATATATATATATATATTTATGTTAAAAGATTAGAAAAATTCACGCGTAGCGCACTACCCGGTTTTCGACCTTACAGTCTCGTCAAGATAGTTGCTCTAGATTGTGCGTTGCTCGTCAATTTCTCCTAATCTTTTATAATATATATATATATATATATATATATATATATATATATATATATATATATAAGTAGTTTTATATAACTTCTCATACTAAGGTGTAAGAAATAAAATGGTCAACTGAGCAGCTTCTTTTTACAATCTTGGTTATATCATTAACCATGTATAACAAGATTCATTTTCATTATGAGTATTGCCCCAAAACTGTAAACAATGTTACTTTTAAGAGCAAAAATATATTTCTATATGACAGAAAACTACTCTTTCCCCATGATGGACAAAAAATTATGTTAAAACCTTCTTCTGACTCCAATAATTATGCAGAACACATACACAAAAGAGTGTAAGCATATATTGGTTTCGGCTCGGTTGTTTTTGTTTAGCGGCATATCAACATCTCTATGGGTCATTTAATACCGAAATCTAAATATTTTGTATGCAGTTTTTATTTATTTATTTTATTTTATTTTATTTTATTTATTTATTTTTTTTTTGAGATAACAATATTTTAGTGGTACAATCTTACTAATTAACCTATAGTTGGGAGGCGAATAGGTGGATTCATAGCTTTCCAACGGGTATTTGTGCATAAGTCAATATGACGAACCCAACTGGAATTGAAACATTGGCTCTGAACTTAACAGTTCTGAACCAATCATCCATTACACCAATCTCACATCCAAGCTTACAGCACCTGGTATTCCCATGCGGTAATCCATCTAGGTATTAACTAGACTCGACGTTGCTTAACTTCAATGATCATAGAGGAACAGGTGTTTTAATGTTATATGGCCGTAACCCTCCGTGAATGGGGAACAATTAAAAAAGACTTCCTCTTTTATATTAGGTTGCCACACCTGAAATGACGCATTTTGGGGGTTGGTTGGTGATCCGATCGTTTAACAAAGTAAACCTCCTTTGTACATAAATATCTTGACTAATTCCTGACTTCTTTTCTTTCTTTTTTTTCATGTAATTTTTTCTTTCAGTTACTCATAAGCCCAATGAAAATTATTACAATGAAACAATGTTGAATAATCTTACTGCATGAGTAAAAACTGGTAAAAAGAACCATTTTTGAATCGATTCATTACATGCGATGAGAAATAGATGCTTTTTGACAAGAATAAGAGAGTCGGCCAGTGTTTAGATGAAGTGAATCATCAAAACAATACCCAAAAAACCACCACTACACCTTAAAAAGTTAATGGTTACTGTGCGGCGATCTTTCAAGGGGGTTATTCATTGTTCATTCTTGCCTCAAGGGAAAACAATAACAGGAACCTCGTATTGTGGAGAAATTGAGTACATGCACGAAAACTTGAAAAAGAAATATCCTAGATTTGTAAATAAGATGGCCCAATTTTGCTGCATGACAACGCACGGCCGAACGCTTCTCCCTCAACTTTCCAAAAGTTGTATAACCTGAATTATGAAATCTTGCCTCATCCTCCATATTCACCTGATATCTTTCTTACTAATTATCTCTTATTTAATTATTTTGAGCTTTTCATATGCAATAAAACATTCTCTAATAAGGAAGAGTTAATCGAAGCACTCACATCAAAGGATGAGAATATTTTTAAAGATGGGATCAAGAATTTAGAGGTATGTTAGAGAATAGTCATTCACTAACATGGCGCTTATTTCAGCTAAATAAATTAATTAGTTAACATTTCAGAAGCGTTTTATTCATTTCCTATGAAGTACGCCATTTCACGTGTGACAACCTAATGTCCGTAGAAGAAAGAATTGAAGAAGTAGATAAACTGAATGTCGCACACTAAAGCCGATTAAGATTATTGTGGGAAAAATAGAATAATTTCTTGTTGATTTCACCGCAGTTTTGAATTCAAAAGCCAATTTTTATGCTTTTAAAAGGAAAAGAAATACGTTGTTACCCTAATTAAACCAAAGTAAGTCTTAAACTTAAGGCTCTACATATCAACAAAACAACAAAACCAAAATGAACTTTTTAGTTATCAAGTACTGTTTATTTGCTCCTTCAAGTGAGTATGAGGTCATTACCCAGCACCTGAGGTATCCCCAAGGAGGCTTAAGCAATTTTTCTACGGCATTAAACTTATTTCACATTCTGTTGCGACGTGGACGAACGGATAAATTCCAACTCAATTTATAATTAATTAATAATTATAATTAATAAATAATTATTATCGAATAAGTGGATAGTGTAACGGATATCAGCGCGGAGGAAAGTGGAATCGATGAGCTGAGTTCAATTTCCCGGCCCGTTGCATTCACTTTTACACAGATTCTCTTGGGAAAGGCATGAGACCATCTCTTAAGCTTAGCTGTTAAATAGTAGGGTAAAGTGGGCAACCAGTCTCAGAAAAACTCTTATTTCTAAATCAATTTGAAGCCAACAGGGAACCACTTGACTCTCTCTCCTAAGAGGTCATGGCAGTTAACAGATAATAAACAAAGGGAATATGTGAAGAGCAATGTTCGACTACGCCTTGAAAAGTCATGGCATTAAAAACAAAAATGATGTTGAAACTCTCATTTCATCTCATCATCGACTACAGACAAACACCCAACACCAATCTACTCCATAATTCACGATATTCCACAGATTTCGGTAACTGGCCTATTCCCAGACTTCTTTCCTCCATCCATTAGTTGATAGACGTATGTTCGGGCTGGTCCAGTAACGTTGCAGAATGGAGGGTAGAGTGTGCGATGGCCCCAGGCATCCATATTGGAAGGACATCCAATCAAACAGTGAAATAAAAATTTAGTTTATATTTAATTCAAATAAAATGTTTATTTCATATTTCATCTGTTTTTACATCTTTAAAATGTCTTCCATTCTCACATTTCTCAGTACTAGGACCCATTGCCCCTCCTAATTGAGTCTTAGGGGTATACAATCAAGGAGTTGACCCCGGGCATCACTGAGCATCACCAAACCTCTGCACGTTACTGAGCTGGTCGTTTTCTCCAAGGATGGTCCCAGAGTATGACTTCATGGATAATTTATTATTATTATTATTATTATTATTATTCGACTGTTGATCAGAGCAGGCTCTCAAGACGCTACGCAAGAGTTTGGGCTCATAACTACCAGTCGGGAGCAACAACTGCCAACCTGGTACCCTCCGAATGAAGAAACGTTACTTCTGCAAGAGTATGCTTGAACAACAGCAAATTCTCAATCCCTCCTCTATTCAATCAGTTCGAATTCTTGACATCTACAACAGATAAGATTGAATGCTTTGCTCGGAAATTCTCTTCCAACTCAACACTCGATTTATTTGGAGTACCCACACCTGATTTCTCCATTAGGGAAAATGTTCTACTAAGTGATACGCGCATTACCAAGTCAAGGGTCTCAGACATCATTTCTAAATTACTCCCATAAGGCAAGCAGAGGTGACGGGATCCCAGGCATCGTCCTAAAGAAATGCGTTCCCGAGCTAGCTCCAGTCATCTCCAAACTCTACAACTATTGCCTCGCTGCTTCCTGCTTTTCAGCTTGCTAGAAGTCCTTTTCTATAGTTGCTGTTTTTAAGAACTCTAGAGAATCTTCTGATCCTTATAAATATCGCCTTATTAGTATCCTATCGCTTTTCAACAAAGTATTTGAGACTTAAATCAATGCTGAAGTGGTTAAGCACCGTACTTCTCACGATCTACTCTCTGGCCAACAATATGGCTTCTATTTTCCCAGGTCTACCGCTGATATGCTAACGACCATTACTGAATATGTATATTAAGCTCTTGATAATAACGGCAAAGTTCGACCTGTGGCTCTAGATATCTCGGAGGTTGACAAGGTTTGGCACGCTGGTCTTCTACTTAAGATCCAGGGATTCAGTGTTACTGGACGATTTTTTATGTAATCCAATCTTTCCTATCAAATTGTGAAATGAAGGTTGTTCCCTAAGGCTATATCCTGTGTCCTACACTGTTTCTGATCTTCATCAATGATCTTCCTGATATCATCAGTTCCCATGCAAACGCAGACGAATCCGGCATTGCTGACAATGTTAACCTGGCTGTCGGTTTCGAAAAGGACCTTCAATCTGTGCTTGACTCGGGCAGGAAATGGCTTGTAAATTTTAATGCCTCTAAAACGAAACTGCTTTCATTTAACCATCATAGAAAAGTCTCCCTGCCTCTTATCAACATGTTTGATACTCGACTTCATGAGGGCATCTCAATACGCCTTCTTCGTTTCACGTTTTCCACTGTCCTGAAGTAGAACAACTACGTTGAATCAATAGCTTCATCTACCGCAAGGAAAGTTGGTTTCCTGTGTCGTGTCAGAAAGTTTTTCACGTCTGAGTCCATCCTACACATCTATAAACCTACCATTCGTCCACGCATTGAATACTGTTTCAATATATGGTCTGGTGTCCCCGCTGTTCATGTCGAGGTTCACAGCAAAATCCAAAGACGGATATATACAATGTGATCGGCCCTCACTGAAATCTCGACTCCACTCACTTTTCTCTTTCCGTCTGTGTGAAATGAGGCCTATATTGTCTCTGAAGAGACGACCACAGCTACTGCATGGTAGATTAGGTGGGTTCAGGAGATGAAGAGCTCTGGCTTTTCTTTGGATTCTCTTCGTCTCTTCGATTTGCTTTCTGGCGTTTTCGGAGGATTTCTTTCTTTTTTTCTTTTTTTTGTGGATTGCTCTTTCCCATTTGATTCTTCCTATGGCTCCCGGTTCCCAATGGACTGCTGTCCTCAGCGAGGTGTTTTTTCAGCTGATCCTTGATCGAAGAAGTAGGTAAAAACTGTTCAACTAGCTTCAGTTCGTGAGTTACAACCAGAATAAAATTTGCCGACTATTAGAATAGTCTCATGGTTTTATTTCAAGGGTGACGATCTGACCGAAGAGTTATTGTTAAGCCACAAGCATTTGAATGGAAGTAGCTGAAAACGAACTTGGTGTCTGCAAAGCTACAGTTGACTTCAGCTACAAAGAAACATAAATTTGGAGCACCTGATTTTTTTTAAAGCTTTGTTTCTTTTCCAGCGAGTATGTAATCCAATCTGTTCTCTTCTTTCTCATTTTCAGTTCCCAAATCAATCAGCTGTTTCGAACTTAATACTCAAGTAGGTATATTCCAAATTTTGTCATGAAGACTTTATTGCTTAACTGCTTTTGAAATATAACATTGTTGGCAGTCAAATACAAAATGTTTGGATCGCCAACTTGGCACATAAAAGAAGCAACATTTAGGCAACAGTGGCGGTTGCGCTTGACTCATTTGTGCAGTGAGTTCAATCCTCACTGAGTGCCCTTCTGCTGTTTCCTTTTACCAAGCAAAACTAACTTTACTGAATAACTACAGACATTCTGCAAATAACTAAATTCTACAAATAACTACAAACATTCTACAAATAAATAAATTCTACAAATACATTCTAAAAATAACTAAATTTCACAAATATCTATAAATAACTAAATTCTACAAATAACTACAAAATTCAAGAAATAGTTAAATTCTACAAATAACTAAATTCTGCAAATGTCTACAAATAAATAAATTCTACAACTAACTAAATTATATAAATGTCTACAAATAACTAAAGACTATAAATGATTAACTTTTACAAATTTCTATAAATAAATAAATACTACAAATAACTAAATTATATAAATGTCTATAGCTCAATTATATAAATAACTACAAACATTCAACAAATAACTAAATTCTACAAATGTCTACAAATAAATTCTACAAATAACTCAATTCTATAAATGTCTACACATAACTAAATCCTACAAATTTCTACAACTAAATTCTACAAATGTCTATGAATAACTAACAAATAATTACAAGCATTCTACAAATAACTAAATTCTACAAATAACTACAAACATTCTACAAATAACTAACTCCTACAAATAACTACATTCTAAAAATAACTAACTCCTACAAATAACTGAAAACTTCCTAACATTTTAAATTATGAGTAAAGATACAATCACAGAAAAAGATCCTACAAAATATTGCTATAAAAGTGTTAATTGTAGTTTTAACTTTTACAATAATTATTGAAAGTTTATTGACAAGATTAATTCTGACTGTAACTAATTACTAAATCCGCTAAAAGTAGTTGTGATAAAAAGGAAATTAAATTTAGATGAAAAAATACTGGTCAAAATTATGCTTATCTGATAATAAAATCCAGGATAATAAAGGGACTAGTGTAAGTAAGCAAACATCAAGCATAACAGCATTCATTATGACCCTACTATCAGTCATAAATAAATTCTGTTTTTGTTTATCATCTTCCTTCTTCAAAAAATAAAATATGATTACATATTATTCAATTCCGTATTCACCATTATTTGCAATCGCTTATTGCCAATTATCAGACAGCTGTTCAGTACCTTCTGAGGAAAATTCCGCAGATTTTGATACAAAAAGAGCTTTCAATGAACTCTTGAATCGAGTTTTCATTGAAGAAAGTTTTCTCCATCAACACATTTTGTATTAATTGAAAAAGATAATAATCCATTGGTTCAAGGTCAGTCGAATATGGCGAGTGGGTTAGAATAGACCAACCGAGTTCCAAAGTGTTTTCTGTGTTATTTTTACTGTGTGAAGCCTTGCATTGTCATTGATGAGAAGAACGTTTTTTCCTATTGATGAACACAGGGCACTTTTCGAACATAATTTATAGGCATGTTGCAGCTCCTGAACACATAAAGGTGCATATAGTGTTTTCAAGAATTGTAAATAATTGTTTACCCATGTGATATCACCACACACACAACATTGCCATTCTTAACTTTTGTGGTCTCTTATGGAGATCATCCTCTCCCACTGAACATTATCATATGTAACCTATTTTCAGCATTTCTTATGATGCATTTAAGGAATGATTATTTAGGGTGATACTTTCATCACAACAAATGGTTGCCCAAAAACGGAGATGACATCTGACTCAATCTTATATATATAGATACAAGAAGAAAATATGCCCAAAACTTAAAAACAAATTATTATCGTCAAAATGTTTGCGTTATTATTAAGATGAAGAATCATAGGATTATTTTTTAATCCTTTTTAGAACGTTGGAAACTTAGTTTAAAAATCTTGTTTTTCAAATATCAACGCTGGACCTTAACTTTTATGATATTTTGAGAAACTCTTTTTTCATCGTGCTTATTGCTTGAAGAATTTCTGTAATGAAAACTTTGTTTAAACACAACTCCCAATTGAAGAAAATTTGCCCTGAATTGTAAAATAAATAATCCAACAAAATTAAGACATATTTGTCTTAATTAGAAAAGCTGTTAATTGCTTTTACGAATAAAAATTTTTGGGGGATTAAAAAGTTATTTTCTTTACTGGCAATCTTCAAAAAAGTCACACTATCAATGAAAAGTATTATGTCAACTAGCTGAGTCAGGTAGGAAAGGCTATCAAAACCAAACTCCCAGGAAAACTGATGAAAGGTGTTTTGTTTCATCAGAACAATTTACAAGTAAATTATTTCAATGGCTGATATACATGACTGTGGCTTTGAACTGGTTCATCACTCTCCCTATTCTCTTGATTTGACTAATATCTGTTCCCCAACATGAAAAAAAAACACTTAGTTGGGAAATAGTATCCCGGTGATGATGACGTCATATCTGTTGTTGATGACTTTTTTGGCCAATGGTATGAACAATCTTCTTTGAACAATTAGACGTTAGTTTACCTGGAAAGAAACGCCATAGTTATTAACAAGAAGAGTTGAAATTAATGCATTCAAGATTTCACAGCTTTAGCATAATTCCTTCAAAGTCAGCCTATGAACTTTTCAGCCCACCCTTGTATAATATTGTCAAATAATAAGAAATGTACCAATAATAAATTTAAAATTTATTGCTAATTTTCTAACATTTTCACAACAACCATCTTCGTAAGTGTTATGCCATAGTGCCTATTCTATTGTAATGGACTCTCCCATAGATAATAAGTAGGAGTAGCAGTGGCAAGTCTGACAGAATGGTGTTGAGCGCATCAGTCGAGATTCGGACATTTGAAGTACCAACCATCACAACCAGATTGCTGCGCCATTGACTCTTATTTTCCAAGTTCCTAACCTTTTGTACGTCGGACCTAATTTAGGACGACTTATTAGAAATACAAGCCTCCACTGAGAAAATACTCCACAACAGTAAGGCTGAAGCCAAAGTACCTAAAATTCAGTAAAATATTAGATTGTTTAAAATATTTTCTTAATTTTTAAGATTACTCGATAGTTAAAAAAATTATACAAAAATGCCATTCACATTGTATTTGTCAGTTCATTCCTGTCCACTTTATTGAAATTCTTTAAACTGCTATCATCTCAAAAGTAGTTCTCCTCAAAGATGTGCCCTTGGACTGGCTCCTGTTCTCTCTAAACTCTACAATAAGGGTTTTGCTGCTGCTTGCTTTCCTGCTTGTTGGAAATCCTCTTCTGTAGTTCCTGTCTTTAAGAACTGAGGTGAAGTGCCTGATCCTTCTATCAGATTATTACCCTCTACCTCTTTTTAGAAAATTACTAGAGGCTCTAATCAACTCTGATTTTATTAATTGTCTCACATCGCAGGGTCTTCTTTCAGACAAGAAATATGGCTTTCGCTTCTCCAGGTCAACTGCTGATGTGGTAACAATTATTGCTGAAAAAGAATGGTGAATTTCAGGCGGTTGCTTTGAACGTATCAAAGGCATTTGACAAGGTTTGACATATTGGTCTTCTTCACAAGTTGAAATGTTATGGTATTTCTGTACGAATTTTTGATCTCATTCAGTCATTCTTATAAATCGCGAAATAAAAGTTGTCTTGAACGGCCACTCTTCTAGATCCTTTTGCAACCATCGCCCAGGTCTCTATACTTGGACCTACATTGTTCCTAATTGTCATCCACGACCTTCTTGATGGCACCAATTCTCAACTCGCTATCTATGCTGATGACACATTTATTCCTGTCTTAATAGTAAGTCTGAGTAGTTTGATAAGGTCAAATAGGCAGCTGATCTAAAAAATGACCTACATTTTGTTGTTAACTGAGGCAAAGAATGTCTTCTTAATTTTAACACAAAACAAAACTACTCTCTATTAATGGTCTGAGAGAACGCTTTCTACCTTCCATCAGCATGGTTGGTGCTAACCTTCAGAAGAATGACTCATTGCAATTTTTTGAACCAATATTCTCTACTGACATGAAGTGGAAACATTATATCGAATCAATTGCTAGGTCTGCTGCTAAGGAAGGTTGGTTCACTGTGTAATGCAAGATAGTTTTTTTCTCACCAGAATCGATTTTACGTATCTAAAATTCGTCCATTCATTTATGTTTAGGATATTTCTGCCCATAAAGTCTGGTGATATATTTAGAGATCCTTGATAAAATCCAAAGAACAATTTTCACTTTATTGGTCCTGACCTGGCATCTCATCTTCAGTCACTTTCCCACCGCCATAATATAATTTCCTTGTGATTTTTGTATAAATACTTCCCTGGTAAGTTTTCTGAGGAAATCTCCTCTGTGTTATCTAGATTATGAATTTAAGCACAGTACTAGATTGGCAATAAGATTTCGTCATTTTACTGTTGAGATGTTTAGATCTAACCGTATATTCTATCTTCCGGGTTCTTGTTTTCCAATCAAGTTTGATCTTCAAAACTTTAATTGCAATGTCAATCATTATCCTCTGTCCTCTTAAATTCTGTTCTTTTATTGTTCTCGCTCTTTGATAATGTTCTTTTCTTATATTTCACACTCAGTAACCTCCCTACTGCCTTGTTTGCGGAAAAATGATTTCAAAAATCATCAGGCTGTCTATAAATCACTCAACATATCAGACAACGCCGCTTCCGTGTGATAAAAGAGCTTTTCTGCATTATTTTAAACGACAAGTAATATTTTTTCAATTCAGGTTAATTGAAATTTAAATCAGCTAATGTCCCTCACATAATGATTCAGAAATGTAAATTTAGTTTTGATATATTTTTTAATAAATAGAATTATTTGTCTTAACATATCTGTCAATACGAACGAATCTAAATTTATAGATTTTTTTTAATATGTAGAAGAAAAAATATTTCTGTTAGTTTAAATTTGGTTTGAAATATTAAATTTAATCTATTAGCTTGGAGTTAAAACTGAAATTATAGCTTTAAGAAAGTTTTTAAAATAACTTTAAATGCATTTTAAAGTTGCTATTGCTTTTTCTTTTTTTTTTTTTTTTTTTTTTTTTTTTTTGCTGGGGGTACGTAAATAAATATGTCAAAATTTCAGATAGAGTATCTCCGTAAAAGAACAATAAGAATAAAGACAAAAGGAAGACTTATTTTAGCCGACGCGTTTCATCTTTTGAGGGACTTTATCAAGGCAGATGCAAGGATTTTATTTTGTAACAAATGTTATTGGTTTTACGAAATGTTTAAATCCAAGAACACTCATAAATGTTCATCAGGTTAGCCGAAAAGTCAGGCAAGCTATAGAGGATGCAAATTGACACAATTCAATGTGTAATAAACGAAAGTGAGTAAGCGATGTTCTTGAAATATGTTTTTTTAATGCAAATTGATAACCAAGGACGCATTCCATAAGCTGGGCGGAGTATTGCGAGACAGGAGGATTTCTGATAACAAAAAGAAAAAAAAAACGATACTGAGCTGTTACGTGACATCCGTCCTTCTTTACGGCAGCAAATGCTGGACGATTTCCTGAAGGATGAAGAAGAGACTCGAGGCGATGGAGATGTGGTTCTACAGAAGGATGCTAAGGATATCCTGGACCGAGCGTTTGAGCAACGATGAGGTCTTAGAGAGGATGCAGACGAGGAGGAGGCTCATGCTTAACATCAGGAAGAGGCAGCTGAAATTTTCACCTTCCCGACAGTAATTGTTTGATTTCTTTATCTTTTAATTGATGCATTTAATTGTATGTAACTGAGTTCTGTTAATCGATTTTGTAAGGAATTTGCTAAGTAAGAGTTGATTCCTTCTCGGTAACTGAATTAATCTTTGACGTTGGTCGCATGTTCCTTATTCTTGTGGACGGGGGTCAGATTTGACCGAAGAGGAAACCTTAGCTGCTCAATTCTCAATATTAAAAATGTCAGTCCAAGGGTTGTGTCAAAGAAAGTCGCCAAGAGAATCCCACTCAGTATGCTGGTAACAGAAAGATGCCTTATGAAGAGGAGGTTCCTCTCTAATAGATGATTGAAATGAAATAGATATTACAGAGTGATCCGAGTTGCCAAGAGGACAACGTTGCGAGGAGAGGAGGTAAGATATAAAGCAAGTAAAGAAACCTGTTGCTCAGATTTGCTAGGGAAAACGGGTAGTGCCAGGGATTGAGAAATGGAAAAATTGAAAAGTCTGAATGCCAGCAATATCAGTAGCATATAAAATACTATCTTGTTTAACTAAATTTTGAATTGATTAATAGGCTTCTAATGAATTTTATAACTAACAGCTGACTCTTTCTTGGTGACTTGATGAATCTTTGGCGTTGGACGAATGTTCCTTATTCTTGGGATGGGGAAAGTGAGAGAAAAAGAGAGAGAGAAAAATGTGGGAATAGGGTAAGATATAAAAATTCAACCATACCCACAATCAAATACGGCAACCATACATACGTGGATTTTGAGGGGATTTCGGCTACTTGCTTTCCAGGCAAGATTGATCTTAAATGCAATGTCAATCGTTAGCTACATGCTGATTAATCATTTAATGTTCTCACTCCTCAATAATATTTGTTTACTAAATCTCTCATGTCCAGTAACCCATTACGTCTTAGTGGCTTTACTATCTTACATGGGGTGAATAGAATTAAAAAAAAGAACACATTTAGAATTTTTTCACCACCAACAATTAGCATTTCTCTAAAAACTGTAGAAAATATCAAAATATAATGGCCTTATGAGAAGTGTTTCTGAAAGGCGGAAATATACATTTTGCATATTTCTTTATGTAACTATTTAGCATATTAAAATATTGTTCATCTATATCACTCTATTATCATTATTTTAAATATTGAGCACATTATTTATGATAGATCTGTCCATCATTAAACATGTTGCACTCCAGTAATTTAGTGGAGCGAATTATGTTAGGTATTAACGATCTGTGTTGCTATTAAGTCATTTTTCTATGCTGAACATAGGCTGAGGACAGAATACCGGAGATTCCCGACATAAGAAGAACCAGTGGAGAGAAGCAGGTACGACTCACCATAGTTTGCAAAATATATAAGTATTTTACAATATTTTATTTATGAACTATACTGATTTGCTGATAACTTTGTATATTGACCACATTGTTTGTAAAACAAAATATTCTCACATTTAAACATGTTTCAATCCAATAATTTAGTGGATTACGTGTTTTTTTTTTACATTAACAATCTGTTTTGTAAATTATTCATCTTTCTTTGCTGAACATAGGCCGAGGACAGAATACAAGAGATTCCCGACATAAGAAGAACCAGTGGAGGGAAGCAGGTACGACGCAACATAGTTTGCAAAATATATAAATATTTTACGATATTTTATTTATTAATTATACTGATTTGCTGATAATTTTAAAATTTGAGCATATTGTTTATAAAAAAAATTTGCTCATATTTAAACATGATGCAGTCTAGTAATTTAGTGTACTACGTGTTTTGTTTGGCATTAACGAACTGTTTTGTTAATTATTCATTATTCTTTTTTGGAACATAGGCTGAGGACAGGATACAAGAAATACCTGACATCAGAAGAACCAGTGGAGGGAAGCAGGTACGACTCACCATAGTTTGCAAAATATATAAGTATTTTACGATATTTTATTTATGAACTATACTGATTTGCTGATACCTTTGTATATTGACCACATTGTTTGTAAAACAAAATATTCTCACATTTAAACATGTTTCAATCCAATAATTTAGTGGATTACGTGTTTTTTTTTTTTTTACATTAACAATCTGTTTTGTAAATTATTCATCTTTCTTTTGCTGAACATAGGCCGAGGACAGAATACAAGAGATTCCCGACATAAGAAGAACTAGTGGAGGGAAGCAGGTACGACCTAACATGGTTTTGCAAAATATATAAATATTTTACGATATTTTATTTATTAATTATACTGATTTGTTGATAATTTTAAAATTTGAGCATATTGTTTATAAAAAAATTTGCTCATATTTAAACATGATGCAGTCTAGTAATTTAGTGTACTACGTGTTTTGTTTGGCATTAAAGAACTGTTTTGTTAATTATTCATTATTCTTTTGTGGAACATAGGCTGAGGACAGGATACAAGAGATTCCCGACATCCGAAGAACCAGTGGAGGGAAGCAGGTACGACTTAACATAGTTTTAAAATACATCAGTATTTTACAATATTTTATATTTTAATTATACTGATTTACTGATAATTTTTTAACACTGACCACATTGTTTATAAAAAAAAATTGCATCATATTTAAGCATGATGCAGTCTAGTAATTTAGTGGACTACATGTTTTGTTATGCATTAACGATTTGCTTTGTTAATTATTGATTTTTCTTTGCTGAACATAGGCTGAGGACAGAATACAAGAGATTGCCGACATAAGAAGAACCAGTGGAGGGAAGCAGGTACGACGCAACATAGTTTGCAAAATACATCAGTATTTTACAATATTTTATTTATTAATTATACTGATTTACTAATAATTTTTGAATATTGAGCACATTGTTTATAAAAAAAATCGCACCATATTTAAGCATGATGCAGTCTAGAAATTTAGTGGACTACATGTTTTGTTATGCATTAACGATCTGTTTTGTTAATTATTGATTTTTCATTGCTGAACATAGGCTGAGGATAGAATACCAGAGATTCGCGACATAAGAAGAACCAGTGGAGGGAAGCAGGTACGACTCACCATAGTTTGCAAAATATATAAGTATTTTACAATATTTTATTTAGTAATTATACTGATTTGCTGATAATTTTTTAATATTGAGCACATTGTTTGTAAAACAATATTTGCTCACATTTAAACATGTTTCAATCCAGTAATTTAGTGGACTACATGTTTTGTTTGGCATTAACGAACTGTTTTGTTAATTATTGATTTTCTTTGCTGAAAATAGGCTGGGGACAGAATACCAGAGATTCCCGACATAAAAAGAACCAGTGGAGGAAAGCAGGTACGACTCACCATAGTTTGCCAAATATATAAGTATTTTACAATATTTTATTTAGTAATTATACTGATTTGCTGATAATTTTTTAATATTGAGCACATTGTTTGTAAAACAAGATTTGCTCACATTTAAACATGTTTCAATCCAGTAATTTAGTGGACTACGTGTTTGTTTGGCATTAACGAAATGTTTTGTTAATTATACATTTTCCTTTGCTGAACATAGCCTGAGGACAGAATACCAGAGATTCCCGATATAAGAAGAACCAGTGGAGAGAAGCAGGTACGACTCACCATAGTTTGAAAAATATATCAGTATTTTACAATATTTTATTTATTAACAATACTGATTTGCTGATAACTTTGTATATTGACCACATTGTTTGTGAAACAAAATATTCTCACATTTAAACATGTTTCAATCCAATAATTTAGTGGATTACGTGTTTTTTTTTGTTTTTTTTACATTAACAACCTGTTTTGTAAATTATTCATCTTTCTTTGCTGAACATAGGCTGAGGACAGAATACAAGAGATTGCCGACATAAGAAGAACCAGTGGAGGGAAGCAGGTACGACGCAACATAGTTTGCAAAATATATAAATATTTTACGATATTTTATTTATTAATTATACTGATTTGCTGATAATTTTAAAATTAGAGCATATTGTTTATAAAAAAATTTGCTCATATTTAAACATGATGCAGTCTAGTAATTTAGTGTACTACGTGTTTTTGTTTGGCATTAACGAACTGTTTTGTTAATTATTCATTATTCTTTTGTGGAACATAGGCTGAGGACAGGATACCAGAGATTCCCGAAATCAGAAGAACCAGTGGAGGGAAGCAGGTACGACGCAACATAGTTTGCAAAATATATAAATATTTTACAATATTTTATTTATTAACTATACTGATTTGCTGATAATTTTTAATATTGAGCACATTGTTTGTAAAACAAGATATGCTCACATTTAAACATGTTTCAATCCAGTAATTTAGTGGACTACGTGTTTGTTTGGCATTAACGAACTGTTTTGTTAATTATACATTTTCCTTTGCTGAACATAGCCTGAGGACAGAATACCAGAGATTCCCGATATAAGAAGAACCAGTGGAGAGAAGCAGGTACGACTCACCATAGTTTGAATAATATATCAGTATTTTTACAATATTTTATTTATTAACAATACTGATTTGCTGATAACTTTGTATATTGACCACATTGTTTGTGAAACAAAATATTCTCACATTTAAACATGTTTCAATCCAATAATTTAGTGGATTACGTGTTTTTTTTTTTGTTTTTTTTTACATTAACAATCTGTTTTGTAAATTATTCATCTTTCTTTGCTGAACATAGGCCGAGGACAGAATACAAGAGATTGCCGACATAAGAAGAACCAGTGGAGGGAAGCAGGTACGACGCAACATAGTTTGCAAAATATATAAGTATTTTACAATATTTTATTTTTTAACTATACTGATTTGCTGATAATTTTAAAATTTGAGCATATTGTTTATAAAAAAATTTGCTCATATTTAAACATGATGCAGTCTAGTAATTTAGTGTACTACGTGTTTTGTTTGGCATTAACGAACTGTTTTGTTAATTATTCATTATTCTTTTGTGGAACATAGGCTGAGGACAGGATACAAGAAATACCCGACATCAGAAGAACCAGTGGAGGGAAGCAAGTACGACTCACCATAGTTTGCAAAATATATAAGTATTTTACAATATTTTATTTATGAACTATACTGATTTGCTGATACCTTTGTATATTGACCACATTGTTTGTAAAACAAAATATTCTCACATTTAAACATGTTTCAATCCAATAATTTAGTGGATTACGTGTTTTTTTTTTTTTACATTAACAATCTGTTTTGTAAATTATTCATCTTTCTTTGCTGAACATAGGCCGAGGACAGAATACAAGAGATTCCCGACATAAGAAGAACTAGTGGAGGGAAGCAGGTACGACGCAACATGGTTTGCAAAATATATAAATATTTTACGATATTTTATTTATTAATTATACTGATTTGCTGATAATTTTAAAATTTGAGCATATTGTTTATAAAAAAAAAATTTGCTCATATTTAAACATGATGCAGTCTAGTAATTTAGTGTACTACGTGTTTTGTTTGGCATTAACGAACTGTTTTGTTAATTATTCATTATTCTTTTTGTGGAACATAGGCTGAGGACAGGATACAAGAGATTCCCGACATCAGAAGAACCAGTGGAGGGAAGCAGGTACGACTTAACATGGTTTGCAAAATACATCAGTATTTTACAATATTTTATATTTTAATTATACTGATTTACTGATAATTTTTTAACACTGACCACATTGTTTATAAAAAAAATTGCATCATATTTAAGCATGATGCAGTCTAGTAATTTAGTGGACTACATGTTTTGTTATGCATTAACGATTTGCTTTGTTAATTATTTTTTTCTTTGCTGAACACAGGCTGAGGACAGAATACCAGAGATTCCCGACATAAGAAGAACCACTGGAGGGAAGCAGGTACGACTCACCATAGTTTTCAAAATACATCAGTATTTTACAATATTTTATTTTTTAATTATACTGATTTACTAATAATTTTTTAATATTGACCACATTGTTTATAAAAAAAAATCGCAACATATTTAAGCATGATGCAGTCTAGAAATTTAGTGGACTACATGTTTTGTTATGCATTAACGATCTGTTTTGTTAATTATTTCATTGCTGAACATAGGCTGAGGACAGAATACCAGAGATTCGCGACATAAGAAGAACCAGTGGAGGGAAGCAGGTACGACTCATCATAGTTTGCAAAATATATAAGTATTTTACAATATTTTATTTATTAACTATACTGATTTGCTGATAATTTTTTAATATTGAGCACATTGTTTGTAAAACAATATTTGCTCACATTTAAACATGTTTCAATCCAGTAATTTAGTGGACTACATGTTTTGTTTGGCATTAACGAACTGTTTTGTTAATTATTGATTTTCTTTTGCTGAAAATAGGCTGGGGACAGAATACCAGAGATTCCCGACATAAAAAAAAGAACCAGTGGAGGAAAGCAGGTACGACTCACCATAGTTTGCCAAATATATAAGTATTTTTACAATATTTTATTTAGTAATTATACTGATTTGCTGATAATTTTTTAATATTGAGCACATTGTTTGTAAAACAAGATATGCTCACATTTAAACATGTTTCAATCCAGTAATTTAGTGGACTACGTGTTTGTTTGGCATTAACGAACTGTTTTGTTAATTATACATTTTTCCTTTGCTGAACATAGCCTGAGGACAGAATACCAGAGATTCCTGATATAAGAAGAACCAGTGGAGAGAAGCAGGTACGACTCACCATAGTTTGAATAATATATCAGTATTTTACAATATTTTATTTATTAACAATACTGATTTGCTGATAACTTTGTATATTGACCACATTGTTTGTGAAACAAAATATTCTCACATTTAAACATGTTTCAATCCAATAATTTAGTGGATTACGTGTTTTTTTTTTTGTTTTTTTTTACATTAACAATCTGTTTTGTAAATTATTCATCTTTCTTTGCTGAACATAGGCCGAGGACAGAATACAAGAGATTGCCGACATAAGAAGAACCAGTGGAGGGAAGCAGGTACGACGCAACATAGTTTGCAAAATATATAAGTATTTTACAATATTTTATTTTTTAACTATACTGATTTGCTGATAATTTTTTAATATTGAGCACATTGTTTGTACAACAAAATTTGCTCTCATTTACACATGTTTCAATCCAGTAATTTAGTGGACTACGTGTGTGTTTGGCATTAACGAACTGTTTTGTTAATTATTCATTATTCTTTTGTGGAACATAGGCTGAGGACAGGATACAAGAGATTCCCGACATCAGAAGAACCAGTGGAGGGAAGCAGGTACGACTTAACATGGTTTGCAAAATACATCAGTATTTTACAATATTTTATATTTTAATTATACTGATTTACTGATAATTTTTTAACACTGACCACATTGTTTATAAAAAAAATTGCATCATATTTAAGCATGATGCAGTCTAGAAACTTATTGGACTACATGTTTTGTTATGCATTAACGATTTGCTTTGTTAATTATTGATTTTTCTTTGCTGAACATAGGCTGAGGACAGAATACCAGAGATTCGCGACATCAGAAGAACGAGTGGAGGGAAGCAGGTACGACGCAACATAGTTTGCAAAATATATAAATATTTTACAATATTTTATTTATTAACTATACTGATTTCCTGATAACTTTGTATATTGACCACATTGTTTGTGAAACAAAATATTCTCACATTTAAACATGTTTCAATCCAATAATTTAGTGGATTACGTGTTTTTTTTGTTTTTTTTTTTGACATTAACAAACTGTTTTGTAAATTATTCATCTTTCTTTGCTGAACATAGGCCGAGGACAGAATACAAGAGATTGCCGACATAAGAAGAACCAGTGGAGGGAAGCAGGTACGACGCAACATAGTTTGCAAAATATATAAATATTTTACGATATTTTATTTATTAATTATACTGATTTGCTGATAATTTTAAAATTTGAGCATATTGTTTATAAAAAAATTTGCTCATATTTAAACATGATGCAGTCTAGTAATTTAGTGTAAAACGTGTTTTGTTTGGCATTAACGAACTGTTTTGTTAATTATTCATTATTCTTTTGTGGAACATAGGCTGAGGACAGGATACAAGAAATACCCGACATCAGAAGAACCAGTGGAGGGAAGCAAGTACGACTCACCATAGTTTGCAAAATATATAAGTATTTTACAATATTTTATTTATGAACTATACTGATTTGCTGATACCTTTGTATATTGACCACATTGTTTGTAAAACAAAATATTCTCACATTTAAACATGTTTCAATCCAATAATTTAGTGGATTACGTGTTTTTTTTTTTTACATTAACAATCTGTTTTGTAAATTATTCATCTTTCTTTGCTGAACATAGGCCGAGGACAGAATACAAGAGATTCCCGACATAAGAAGAACTAGTGGAGGGAAGCAGGTACGACGCAACATGGTTTGCAAAATATATAAATATTTTACGATATTTTATTTATTAATTATACTGATTTGCTGATAATTTTAAAATTTGAGCATATTGTTTATAAAAAAAATTTGCTCATATTTAAACATGATGCAGTCTAGTAATTTAGTGTACTACGTGTTTTGTTTGGCATTAACGAACTGTTTTGTTAATTATTCATTATTCTTTTGTGGAACATAGGCTGAGGACAGGATACAAGAGATTCCCGACATCCGAAGAACCAGTGGAGGGAAGCAGGTACGACTTAACATAGTTTGCAAAATACATCAGTATTTTACAATATTTTATATTTTAATTATACTGATTTACTGATAATTTTTTAATACTGACCACATTGTTTATAAAAAAAATTGCATCATATTTAAGCATGATGCAGTCTAGTAATTTAGTGGACTACATGTTTTGTTATGCATTAACGATTTGCTTTGTTAATTATTGATTTTTCTTTGCTGAACACAGGCTGAGGACAGAATACCAGAGATTCCCGACATAAGAAGAACCACTGGAGGGAAGCAGGTACGACTCACCATAGTTTTCAAAATACATCAGTATTTTACAATATTTTATTTATTAATTATACTGATTTACTAATAATTTTTGAATATTGAGCACATTGTTTATTAAAAAAAATCGCACCATATTTAAGCATGATGCAGTCTAGAAATTTAGTGGACTACATGTTTTGTTATGCATTAACGATCTGTTTTGTTAATTATTGATTTTTCATTGCTGAACATAGGCTGAGGATAGAATACCAGAGATTCGCGACATAAGAAGAACCAGTGGAGGGAAGCAGGTATGACTCACCATAGTTTGCAAAATATATAAGTATTTTACAATATTTTATTTAGTAATTATACTGATTTGCTGATAATTTTTTTAATATTGAGCACATTGTTTGTAAAACAATATTTGCTCACATTTAAACATGTTTCAATCCAGTAATTTAGTGGACTACATGTTTTGTTTGGCATTAACGAACTGTTTTGTTAATTATTGATTTTCTTTGCTGAAAATAGGCTGGGGACAGAATACCAGAGATTCCCGACATAAAAAAAGAACCAGTGGAGGAAAGCAGGTACGACTCACCATAGTTTGCCAAATATATAAGTATTTTACAATATTTTATTTAGTAATTATACTGATTTGCTGATAATTTTTTAATATTGAGCACATTGTTTGTAAAACAAGATTTGCTCACATTTAAACATGTTTCAATCCAGTAATTTAGTGGACTACGTGTTTGTTTGGCATTAACGAAATGTTTTGTTAATTATACATTTTCCTTTGCTGAACATAGCCTGAGGACAGAATACCAGAGATTCCCGATATAAGAAGAACCAGTGGAGAGAAGCAGGTACGACTCACCATAGTTTGAAAAATATATCAGTATTTTTACAATATTTTATTTATTAACAATACTGATTTGCTGATAACTTTGTATATTGACCACATTGTTTGTGAAACAAAAATATTCTCACATTTAAACATGTTTTCAATCCAATAATTTAGTGGATTACGTGTTTTTTTTTTTTTTTTTTACATTAACAACCTGTTTTGTAAATTATTCATCTTTCTTTGCTGAACATAGGCTGAGGACAGAATACAAGAGATTGCCGACATAAGAAGAACCAGTGGAGGGAAGCAGGTACGACGCAACATAGTTTGCAAAATATATAAATATTTTACGATATTTTATTTATTAATTATACTGATTTGCTGATAATTTTAAAATTAGAGCATATTGTTTATAAAAAAATTTGCTCATATTTAAACATGATGCAGTCTAGTAATTTAGTGTACTACGTGTTTTGTTTGGCATTAACGAACTGTTTTGTTAATTATTCATTATTCTTTTGTGGAACATAGGCTGAGGACAGGATACAAGAGATTCCCGACATCAGAAGAACCAGTGGAGGGAAGCAGGTACGACTCACCATAGTTTGCAAAATATATAAGTATTTTACAATATTTTATTTAGTAATTATACTGATTTGCTGATAATTTTTTAATATTGAGCACATTGTTTGTAAAACAAGATATGCTCACATTTAAACATGTTTCAATCCAGTAATTTAGTGGACTACGTGTTTGTTTGGCATTAACGAACTGTTTTGTTAATTATACATTTTCCTTTGCTGAACATAGCCTGAGGACAGAATACCAGAGATTCCCGATATAAGAAGAACCAGTGGAGAGAAGCAGGTACGACTCACCATAGTTTGAATAATATATCAGTATTTTACAATATTTTATTTATTAACAATACTGATTTGCTGATAACTTTGTATATTGACCACATTGTTTGTGAAACAAAATATTCTCACATTTAAACATGTTTCAATCCAATAATTTAGTGGATTACGTGTTTTTTTTTTTTGTTTTTTTTTACATTAACAATCTGTTTTGTAAATTATTCATCTT